AGAGCCCCGGCCGGGCTCTCTGCCCTGCTCCCGGCGCTCCGGCCGGTTGGGGAGAGCGGAGAGCCCCGGCCGGGCTCGCCACCCTCCCCCCGGCGCTCCGGCCGGTCGGGGATTGCGGGCCCGCGGCCGGGCTCGGCGCCCTCCCCTGCCACGCTGGGGGGGGGGGGGGCTTTTTTGCCTAGGCCGGCAAAAAAGCCAGAGCTGGCCCTGCAGATGACTATATTCATTTCTGGACCTCTGCCAGCAGCCCTCTAGTCTCCTCATCTCTCTCTTCATTTGCAGCAGTGTCATGCCCCTGTGAGAGTAGTTCAGGAGCCATCATATTACTGGTTGTGGCCAGCAGACATTTGTAGTGTCCTATCAGAGCATCTGCCCTATGCCCTGGATTTATAAGAACCAGATTGCTCAGATGCATTCAGCACAGTCTAGTGATCTGAGCACAGGACAGCTGGGAGCTTCTGAATTCCACTGATGCTCATGTCCTCTGTGGCTTTGGGCAACTCTCTGCGCTTTGTCCATCTGTACAATGGGGATAAAGATAATCGAAGTTACCTACCTTGGAAGGGCGTGTGGGAAGTGTTTCAAAGATGCAAAATCTTTAAATTGCTCCAATGAAAAAAGTCCTAGGGCCAGCTTTTCTGTGGGTGTAAACTGGCACCAATTTACACCTGCAAAGAATTTGGCCCCTAGTGTTCAAAAGGTAAGCTGTAGCTGAAATCGTTACATGAAATGGGTTAGATCACCCAACCCAATGTCAGACACTGCATGCTTCACCCTGATCCTTGGCTTTGGGCATGGATTTGAGAAGGGTGCAACCAGAAGGAAAATGGTAAAGTGGCTCCCATGTGGCTTTCCCTCAGTGGATCCTACGAATTGTTGCTCTGCTGTACCCTGGATTGCAGAGCCTGCTCATGCTGAGTCATGAAATCTGCAGCCCTCAGTATTCCACATCCTAGTCTCAGGCTTAGCTACACTAGCTATTGCTCTAACTATGGGCTGCAGGCCACATTTGGTCTTCAGTGGGTAGATTAGCTGCTTAGATCTTTGCATAGGGTGACAGCCCTTCTGCCACGGTTGGGGGCCTCCTCCCTAGCCTTCTCTCTTTTCTCCTCCTCCTCTCTGCGGGACAGTACAGCTTTAAGGAAACGTCTGGCAGATGCAGACGCAGAACATCTGGGCAACGTTAGCTAAGTCTCAGACGATGCAGGAACAAACCACGCACTTTGGGAAAGTTAAAGCACAAGTTTCCTGAACAGGCTGAGAGGAGAGAGAAGGCAACGAGAGGGAGCAGCAGTGAAGCAGGTAAGATCTGCTTTAACCAGCCATTTGACTTCTATCCACATGGGAAAGGGACTTGGGGAGTGCGGACACAGAAAGCTTTTGAACTAAGCTACACCGCCTAGCAGGCTTCCCCTGGAGCTGAGGATAGACAGATGTTCCTGCTGTGTGACAAGCCTCCCTCCAGGCACCTTCCTCCAGCAGAGGCAGGGGAAGGATCCCAGCAGTTGGTTGCAAGACTCTCACTAATATAGCAGGTAAAGACTTAGGGGGTACTGAACTGTTGCCAGTGACAGGACAGGCTCCTCTGTATAGAGAAGGCCCCAGAGGGGCTCAGGTACTAAGGTGATGAGCATGGTGTAAAACCCTACAGCGATATGAGCTAGAGCAGTGGCTCTCAAACTTTTGTACTGGTGACCCCTTTCACACAGCAAGCCTTTGAGTGCGACCCCCCTTATAAATTAAAAATACTTTTTTATATATTTAAGACCACTATAAATGCTGGAGGCAAAGCGGGATTTGGGGTGGAGGTTGACAGCTCGCGACCCCCCATGTAATAACCTCATGATCCCCTGAGGGGTCCTAACCGCCAGCTTGAGAACCCCTGAGCTAAAGGGAGGATTTGGAACAATAGAAATGTGGGGGTGGGAAGTGTCTTTAAATATACAGATCAGCATCACCAAGAAGGAGCAGGAATTTCTATCTTATTTTGTTTTTCTACTCAAATGCTGCCTGTCAATCTGCTCAGTCTGCCTGGCTACTTCTCTGTGTTTGTTAGAGGTTCGTCATCCAGCCAACCTGCAGTTCCTGAGTAAAGATCTTCTGGTAACCAATCGGTCTGTCTGTGTGTCTCTCCCCGGATCTCAGTCTCTTTCATTGTCTGCCCTCCTTCCCCTCTCTCTGTCCTGTACCCCAGTTCCCCCTCCCTCATGCATTTCCGTTGCACTCATTCTGTTGCAGTAACACTGACCTGAAGCCACAGTAAATAGCGAACACATTTTTTCCCCCATGCCTGTTCCAGTCGAGCTGTCTGTAAATAACGTTAGCTCCCCTGCCTTGGCCCTAACACCTGCCCTCACTCAGTGGATCTGCCTCCAGGCTCTGCACTGACTGAATCCTACAGAAGGAGAGTGAAACTCTAACTCAGACAGCAAACAAACCTGGAGAGTCAGTCACAAAGAAACTCTCCCCATGCTGGAGAGTCTGGAGCAAGGCCCTTCTCCAGAAACCCCCCTTCTTTTTGCTCTGGACAGATGTCTTACTAATCAGTACATTTAGCTGGCCTCTTCCCTTGAAGGTTTATCCTCTCTCCCATAACCTCCACTTTTCTATCTGTTCATATGGGGCCCAATCCCCCTTTGCCTTGTGCAGTCCTTTGCACTAGCACCAAGCAGATGTTAAACACTCACACTCTGCTCCAGTAGTCTTTCTACTCACTGCAGTGGTGCAAATGATCACACAAGATGTAGGGCAAGGGTGAATTGTGCCCTTTGATTCCAATAAATAACATCAGCATGTGCTCTAGATTTTGGTGAATTTCAGCTAGAAATGGGCCCAGATTAGAGTCACTTATCAGAACCTGGGGCCTCGTCTCAACCTACCCACTTTGGAGTTAGCAACGAGTTTTACTCCTTTCTAATTTCAGCATGAATTTCCTCCACATTAAAAAGCCCTTGACTCAGTGGAAAACAGTGTTGCCAACTCTCATGATTTTATCAGGAGTCTCATGATTTTGGGGGGATTTCTGAAAGCTCGGGGGATCCAGTGAGAACCTCCCCTTTCATTTTTTTAAAAGGAAGTTTCTAGCCCTCTTGGTTGCAGAGAAAAGCTTGAAAACATGATTCCCTGGGGGCTCAAAAACCCCAGGAGGCAAATAAAAAGAGCCCAGAATTTGTTATTTTTCAAAATCTCATGCTTTTTAAGCGACTCATGCTTGCAAGGGGTCCGAGTCGTGATTTTTGAATGCTTGGTGTGGACACTACTAGGGAAAAATCTGGATCTGACCAGCATGGACTGGAGAGCAAAGCTAGGGGAGAATACAAGCATGTGTGGGTCAATAACACACCAATGGCCAGGGGTTGTTCTGTTTTAAACCCACTTCCCTTTATTCTAGGTACCAGTCCACACTGCTGCCTGCTGGGCTCTCCGGGCTGCAGCCTGCCTGCTAACGTCAGAGTGCACTACCAGGCAAGGTGCTAGCTCCCGTGGCCCAGGCCCACCCTACATGCTAGAATGGCACAAGGAGAAGCACCACTCCTACTTCTTTTCCTCACCAGGCTGGTGTCATCAACATGGTATGAAGGTCAGTGTCCACCCAGCACAGGAGAGTTAGTCAACAGCAGCTGGCGCTACAAGGGAGTGCGGAATCGACAGGGGCGAGTAGGACTCTCTCAGGGCACAGGAGGAGCTGCTTTTCTTCTTTGTGGTGCAGGGCCACCCAGAGGATTCAGGGGGCCTGGGGCAAAGCAATTTTGGGGGCCCCTTCCATAAAAAAAGGTTGCAATACTATAGAATACTATATTCTCATGGGGGGCCCTGTGGGGCCCGGGGCAAATTGCCCCACTTGCCCCCCCACTCTGGGTGGCCCTGTTGTGGTGTCTAAGGCCTGGTCTACACTAGGACTTTAATTCGGATTTAGCTGCCTTAATCCGAATTAACCCTTCACCCGTCCACACTACAGAGCCAGTTAATTCGAATTAAAGGGCCCTTTAAATCGATTTCTGTACTCCACCTCGACGAACGGAGTAGAGCCTAAATCGATTTTGTTAATTCGAATTAGGGTTAGTGTGGACGCACACCACCGAATTACTGTGTTTAAGTTAATGGGGTAGTGTGGCCGCACACCACCGAATTAATGTGGTTTAAAACCGAATTAAGGTGCTTAGTGTGGCCGCGCACAATCGAATTTATACAACCTGTTTCCCAAATTCGAATTATCTAAATTCGGATTAATCCTGTAGTGTAGACATACCCTAAGAGTAAATGAGTAGAGCAGAGGGAAGCAGGTGCAGTTCATAGCTGGGAACACTAGGGGAGTTTGGTGAAGGAGGAGGGGAAAGGGAGCATGGTGGGGAGCTCTGACTGCTGGAATAAAGGATTGAGTTCAGCCTTGCAGCCAATCCCAGGACCCCTTTTCCTCCAGGCACTCCGGGAAAGGTGACCCAGTTTGGAACAGGTTCAAGGCCTACTGATGGAAGCCAGAGGAACCTCAGAAAGGTGCTCTCTCTCTCTCTCTCCTTGTGGAGGTGTCGGGGGAGTCAACTAAAGCATCACTTAAAGTGGACGTGCCCTGAGGGCAGCGGTTTGCTGAGTGCCAGGGAGCAGGTTTGGGTTAGGGGACTAGGGAGGAGCTGGATAACAAAAGACAAACCTACCCCCAGGAGGTTGACATGACTGCTCAGAGGGCCCTGCTGGGGGTGGGGGAGGGAAAAGACAGACCCAGCACTGGGGTTAGGAACACATCCAGAGAGGAGTAAACAACAAACTTCCCCCATCCCAGCCACAGTGGCAGGAACTAAATTTTTCCACATGCCCTCAGCTCCTTCAGGAGCCTTTGGCACGCGATTGTTTGTCTGGAACAGCTGCACAGACCAAAACCCGAGCCTCTTCCCATCCTTGGCTAACCTGCCCACTTACAACCCCTCAGCTTGTTTGCTATAGAAACCAAACTCTCTCCCCCAGCATCCCAGCTACAAACCATTGCCAGGTTAGCATGGGAGGGGCTCTCAGGAGGCCCAGATCCCCCTCCCCAACACTGTAAAGGCCTCTGCAACCCCCTGGAGAGCTTTGACACCCAAATGGATTAGATTGGTCTCAGTTCCCACCCCCAGCTCATCCTTGCACCGATAGATCCTCCCTGCTTTGTTGTCTCAGGCTCTGCTCTCTGCCTGATTCATACTGAGCCATGAAATCACTCAATAAATACAGACTGGGGATGAAAAAGCACATTTCCATGTATGCATCACTCTCTCCTGGAGGGGATGGCTCTGTGGCCTCAGCATCAGGTTTATAATAGTGAGACTCCCTGCAACCATACATTCAAATCCCAGCAGGGCTGAGTCAGCCCATCCTTCCTATGAGGTAGATGCATTGAGTTCCACACGCTTTGCTGTGTGTGAGCCTTAAAAACGGAGGTGCTGGCTGCTTAGAATGGATATCAAAGATCTCACAGCAGAGTAGGGGGTTTGCCTCGATGTTCTAGCCACGGTCTTCCCCTCCGGAGGCTCCCTGCATGCTGGGTGGGTGCCCAGAGGTGGCTGCATTTCAGTGGCACTGCATGTATGAAGTGTGTGAAGGGCTCTGGGGTGAAAGGCTCTGTAGAAACGAGTGGGTCAGAGGAACAGTGCAGTTTAATTGGGGATCAGGAACGGGTAGGGGAAGTTGTATTATTATGGTTCATAAAGCTTCCCCCAACATGGAGGTTCTTCAGAGGGGTGGGTGGATGGAGTGTGCTCAGGTGACAACCCCTCTCCTTTCATCCCCCACCCATCAGCCCTTCAGCAGGGGAGGGAGAGAAAAAGAGAAGGCAAGACTCTGGACTGAGTGTGAGTCAGGGGACGGTATGAGCAGATCTCAGTGAGACTTACCCCGCTCCCCTAGAGCCTCTAGTGCTCCGATCCTGGAGGCCAGGGTAATGCGCTCTCCCTGGTCACTCTGAGCTGGGGTTTCCTTTCCCCACAGGAGCCTGCATGCCGAGCTTGTAGAGAAACATCTGGGATCCTGCTTAGCACAGACATTTGGTTTCAAGGCTAATTCAGAAACAATGCACGGGGCACAGGCACTAAAAAAAAAAAAAAAATAGGAGCAAAATTTAGCACGCTCACATGCAGTCACTGGAGTGGAGAGGGAAAGAATGAGTCTGGAATGAGAGGAAATCCAGCTGAAAGGTGAGCTCACAGCTCGAGAATGCCACTTGTCAGCCCATTTCATTCATTGGGGCTCAAATGCATCCACTGCTGGCCATGGCTAAGAGGGAAGTTCGGTCTCCGCGTTCATTCAGCTCTGGACGTCTGCATGTGTCCCGGCCCTGGCATAGTGAGCATTCCCTTTGCTGAGTCGCACAGGAGTGGGGGCCCAATCCTGTTCTTCCCACCACTCGCCCCATAACTCCGTGGCGGGGGTGTGAGAGGGGAGTGCTGGGACGCCACTTCCTGGAATTTTGTTCATGAAAGGACTGAGTTGTCCCCTGTCCAGCTGTGCTCCACTCCGACACCCACTTCCTGTCATTAATGAGCCTGGCACACCAGGCTGTTTAGTCTGCTAGACAGTGCCAGCCACACAAACCATGTCACTGCCAGCTGAGGGCTGAGGTTTCTGCATAGATGTGCTCCCTCCTCAGCGCTTGGCTGGGGCCCTGTCTGTGGAGGAGCTGAGACAGGGACAGAGTGAGAGAATCAAGTGTCAGTGAGAAAGGAGCACAACCCCCAAACTGCTCCAGCAGCCAATCCATGCAGGACTCTAGGCCTGCTGCTGGTGCAGCCCTTTACCCATGCACATGTATAATATGTGACCACTGTCATCAGATAGCACCCACTGCTGCGCACCCCTCAGACCTAATTCCCCCTGGCCCTGCACCTCGGGCAGTCGTTCACACCAGTGCAGAGTGGGTGTGAAGTGCTACCAGCTCTGAATGGCAGTGTTTTACCCCCCTGGCTGTGGCAATGCAGGCCTTCCCCCTGCTCCTCTCAGTCTAGTGTCTGCCTCAGCACACCATTCCTGGGTACCAAGGAGCCTGAGAGGAGACAGGCATTCCAGGTTGCCAGGGGGATGGAGACAGTATCTTAACAAGGGCTGTGAATGCTGAGGGGGAAGCCAGAGTCCATAGATGGTTCCCCCTGAGGGAGGCCCCACACTGGGAGGCATTGCTGTAGGAAGCAGATGTTGCCCAGGGAGCAAGTCTCTTTCCAGGAGTTCTGGAGAGGGATAATTCCCTAGAGCCCAACGTCAGCGCAGCTCCTGTCACCATTTCTCTGCAGACCCCCAGCACCTCATACGCTACTCTGAAGGAGAATCAGGGGTGGGATGCAGAAGCATGACACTCAGGTTGAGACCCCACCTCACCATTCTCTCCTCCCACTAGGTTCTGGCTATGACACTACTGAGAGGTACAACAATGAAGTGTATGTGGAAGAGGCTCCCCAAGCTCCTGCCTTGGACTATCGAGGTAACAGTTGCACAGTGAGCTTCCACCAGGCCAGGGGAAGTCATCCCAAGCCTTCTCCATGGCTCCCCAGATGCCCATAGACGGGCGCCCCTGACCGGGACTGATGCTGGGCTGCCCCTCATCCGGGCCACATGCTGCCCCAAGACCCTGGAAATGAAGCACAGAGTTTGCCCAGCTAGACTAGTCCGTCTGAACATTTAGCACTGACATCTCCCCTCCTTTCTCTCTCTCTCCTTAGTTCCCCAGTGGTGCTATTCATTAAACATCCACCACGGAGAGGCGACCTGCTACTCCCCCAGGGGAGGGAATTACCGCAGCAGCCTGGGGACGCGCTGCGAACTCTCATGCGATCGAGGTTTCCGGCTAATAGGACGGAGGTCAGTGCAGTGCTTGCCGAGCCGGCGCTGGTCTGGCACTGCCTACTGCAGACGTAAGTCCTGTATGGGAAAGGGGTGTGTGAGCATGCTGTCCTGACGGCGACTAGTGCTGGGTTACACGACAGAGGCAATGGGGAGGGACTGTTTGGTGTCTGTGTTGGGTGCAGCACTTCATGTCCATTAGGACCTGATCTCCACTCACTGCCTGCTCTAGTCTCTTGCTTATTTGCTGCCACCCCCGGGCTCTGGTGTTGCATCAGTTGCAGTCGCCTTTCTTTTTACCACAAAGGAAGAGCCTGCTGAAGAGAGACATGAAGCATCTGTGCAGGGGGCAGGGTGAGGAAGGGCTTTTTAAAATTGCATTGGTCAAAACCAAACCCTGGAAGCCCTAAAGGAGTCCTGACCTGAGCTGTCCCTAACAGGAAATGGCAGTGACAATGTCGCTGACTCTCATGATTTTATCACAAGTCTCCTGATATTTGATGTTTGTCTTAAAGCCGCAGCTCCGGGACTCGTGTGATTAGGAGAGATTCTCAGCTTTCATTAAAAACGTAGGGTCCCAGTCCTCCTGGTTGGGGAGAAAAGCGGCAGAATGTGACCCAGGCACACCCTTAGGGCTCAGGAACCAGTAGACAAAGCCCCCAACAGTTATTATTCTTTTAAAAGTTCTCATGATTTCTAAGCCAGACTCGTTTCTGAATGCTTGGGGTGACGATACCACATTGGAGACTGACAGATGGCACCTGCTGGGGCAGCAGCCCCTCTATCAGGCACCCAGAAAGGCTCTGAGCAACAACCTGGACCACACACTGAGAACCACTGCAGTGCGCAGCTTGTAAAGCACTTTGGGCTCTGTAGAAGAGTGACTTACTGGCCAGTGCAGCCCCTCCTGGCTGGGTACGGCCTAGCAGGCTCTCCTTTGGCACTTCTGCAGTGCTCGGCTTCTTTTCGTGGCTTAGCCTGCCCCAGGTCCCGTTCTGGGTAATAGAGAATCCCACCAAACAATAGTCCAGTGACCTTACAGCAGGCCTTCTGCCCCGACTCTGGGTTCAATGGTCTTTCCACCCCTTACCTCAGGGGCTTTCACCCCACCTTCCTTGGTGGCCGTTAGGGGAACCTAGATCCTTCCTCTACTCTGGGTTCCAGCAGAGGGATCCTGTAGCTGGCAGCTAAGTTCTGCTTCCTCAGCATTCTTGTTGCCTCTCTGGAACTTCCTACCGTGGCTTGGTTCTGGGCCCTTTCCCCAACCCATTCCCGGGCTCTGGAGAGTTCTTTCTCCCTGGAGCCCCAGCTCCCACCTGCCTTCCCTAGGCTCTCTGTGTCCATGTCTCTTTCCACCAGAAACCTGACCCCAGGTCCTACCTCCTCAGGTCTGTAATGGTTCTCAGGGTCCCCAGGACTGGGAGTCACCTTGTTACTCCTCCTGCCTGCATTGGGAGGAAATTGGGGTTTATTGCCGCACATTACAAAGCTGCATGAGGGCTGGAATGGAAAAAAGACTCAGGAGCCCTATAAGCCAAGCCACCCCATGGCCCAGAGCAGCTGAGCTCAAGGCCATCCTGTCTGGTTCTGTGTCATTCCAAACCCTCCCCAGCCCCAGTGCTGCAGTCCCGAAGCATGTGCTGCCCCCAGAGGGATTTCTGCACGCCTGTGTCTGCTGAGCAGATCTGCTCGTTCCGTTGCAGAGATCCGGTGCCATGTGCTGCCGGCAGTGATGAGCGGTTCCTACCAGTGTTCAGCCGGGGCGCTGCTGGACTCTCACTGTGATTACTCCTGCCTCCCCGGGTACCACCTGGAGGGTGACCGCAGCCGGATGTGCATGGAGAATGGGCGGTGGAGCGGCAGCGAGCCAATCTGTGTAGGTAAATTCTCACCCTGCTGTCTTTACTGCCAGCCTGGCTCATCCTGCACATATGCCCTAGAGACTAGGATTGCCCAGAGTGTCTCCTCAGTGCCTGCTCTGTGGGGATATTACTGTGCTCATGGTTGATCCCTGGTCCCCTCACTCCCAGAGGATTACAAACCCCAGCTAATCCTGGATACCTTCCACTGGGGACTGCTGTACCAAAGTTACTTCCCATGGTTTACCTTGCTTACCTCCCCCAGAGGCATTGTATTCCTCTTGGTTTAAGGTGATTGCTTGGCTCATGAAAGGAATGACTCATATCCCTGTGCTTTGTCCTAGTTCCCTCACACTGGGCATGGCATCTCAGTGGATTATTCTGGGTCTCTGCCCCAGGGTGCATTGCTGTCTGCATGGCTCACCCTGGCTAGCTTCCCTAGGGAGGGAACTATTGCATGTCCCTGTGCTTTCTCCTAGTTCCTTGCCCCCGTGGGTTTTACTGCCTCCTCCCAGGGTTTATTGCTGAACGTCACCTACCCTGTACTGTGGCCCTGCCCCACGTGGTTCCCCTGGAGTTTCTCTCTGCTTTGCTTGGGCAGATATTGAGCCCCCCAAGATCCGATGCCCGGAGACACGAGAGAGGATGGCGGAGCCAGAGAAGCTGACAGCCACTGTGTACTGGGACCCACCCCATGTGAAGGACTCTGCTGATGGCATCATCAAACGGTGAGTGCTGAGGGCTGCAGGACCCCCAGCTCAAACAGGGTCTGGTGGCTTTGTTGCCCTGATGTCGCTTCGTAGGGATCAAAACAAAGGCCCAGCTGGGAGAAAGGCACCGCACACTGAAGCAACTCTGTGTCTTTTGGGTCCAGAGTGACACTGCGGGGCCCAGAACCTGGGTCTGAGTTTCCAGAGGGGGAGCATGTTATCCGTTATATCGCCTACGACCAGGCCTACAACCGAGCGAGCTGCAAATTCATCGTCCGAGTCCAAGGTAAGGGACGGGTCACCTGCTGCACCTGGGACCCCAGCTTCCTCACACCTTGGCTGGAGGAGCCAATTCTTCCCCTGCATGGGCTCAGGAGCCGCGCTCACACCAAGGATGTGTGGGAACAAGTTTTGGTTCCTGCACGTTGTCCCCCATGTGATCAGTGTCACCTGCAGGTCCTGTGCTCCTGCCACCATCAGAACCCTGCTAAGCCCAAGCCATTCCAGGACACCTGGCACTTTCTCCCACTCTCCCTAACTGTCTCATGACCTCTGACCATACCCCAGGACACATGGTGCCAAATCCCCAATCCTGCATCCCTGGCTCTCTTGGACCTTGGAGCTATGGGCACTCAGGTCATTCCTGGCCCAAATCCCTCTAGGGCCTCCTGGCACCTTGGCTAACCCACTCCTCACTCCTCCAGCACTGCAGCCTGTGCTAGATCAAGGCGTCCCTTATCCTTGACATCCGCTCTCCCTTTTGCAGTAAGACGCTGCCCTGTTCTGAAGCCGCCGCAACACGGCTACCTCAGCTGCACCTCTGAAGGCAATAACTACGGTGCCACATGCGAGTACTTATGTGATGGGGGCTATGAACGCCAAGGGAGCCCCTCCCGCGTCTGCCAGTCCAGCCGCCACTGGTCGGGATCCCAGCCTATTTGTGTGCGTAAGTGTTACGGGGAGAGTTGCTGGCGGGGTTGCGTGCAGGCTGAGGCTATAGCCTGGAAACAACTGAACTGCCTTCACCGGGACACCTGCACAGGGCTTTATGAATCAGGCAGCTCCCCCTTGTGCTGAACTGGGTCTGTTCTGTCTCCAGTTCCCAGGAGCTCATCAAATCAAGGCCCTGATATTCATCGGTGAGCATAGGGCTTTCCTGGCAGCATCCGCACTGCCTGAGCATCCCCCAGCCAGCCTCCTCATGAGGGACATCCCCCTCCATCCAGATGTGGAGCCTCCTCCCTTCTATGGTGGAAAATCACTTATGGTGGAAATAAGGAATGGCAGTGCCAAGGCTTGGGAGCCATTGGCAGACAGGGCTAGCATCCCACAACGGTCCTCTTGGGTCTCTGGCCCAGCCTCTCACCTACTGTTGAGCATGTGACTCTGAGCCTCATTCTGGGCCTGATCCACAGTGGGGATGAGTCTGTGATTACCTCAGAGCTTGAGCTCAAGCTGTAGCTGCTTGTGCTTGTAGCTCTGGAGGTGTTCGGCCAAGATGGCAACTGTCACCCATGCCTCCCCCCAGGGCCGGTGCAAGGATGTTTCGCGTCCTAGGCAAAACTTCCACCTTGCGCCCTCCCCCCCCCCCCCGCCCCCCCGCAGCCCCCCCCCCCCCGCGCCCCCCCCCCCCCCCCCTGGGGCCCCCCCCCCCACGCGGCAGCTCCCCACCTCCGCCCTGAGGCACCTCCCCCGTGGCAGCTCCCCCCCTGCCCAGGGAGCCATGCAGCAGCTCCCCACCCCAGCTCACCTCTGCTCTGCCTCCTCCCCAAGCACGCCATCGCTGCTCCACTTCTCCCATCTCCCAGGCTTGCAGCGCCAGGCAGGGAGAGAAGCAGAGCGGGGCGGTATGCTCAGGGGAGGAGGCGGAGCAGAGGTGAGCTGGGGTGGGGAGTTCCCCGCATGCCACCCCCCCCCTTACTTGCTGCAGGCGGCCCTCCCCCTGCCCCCTCCGCCTAAATGCCGACGACGAGTGGGGTAGCCAAAGATCCGGCCCCCGCGGTCACCGCCGAAGAAAATGCTGCCCCCAAAATGCTAGCGCCCTAGGCGACCGCCTAGGTCACCTAATAGGTTGCACCAGCCCTGCTTCCCCCATTTGGGCAGTGGCGGGTTGAGCAGCTTGCCTTAGTCTGAGCAAACTCCCCGAGCTGCCGCACGCTTGCTGACAAACCTGAGATGAGATCTTCCAAATGGCCCTCTTCTCTGGTTGTTCTAACGGGCTAGTCGGGAACGTGGAGGAGACGCCCCCTAGGCCATTACACTCTCTGTGCATCACCTCGTTAGAAAACAACTGCACAGAAGCCCTCAGTGCAGCATGTGCTGCCTTTAGGGGCTGGTTGGATGTTCAGATGAATTGGATAAGGGAAAGGAAGGAGTACAGTGCAGCTGTTTCTAGCAGCCCCCACGCCTCCTCCGTCAGAATTAGATTTGCCCAGCGGCCCCTTACCTTGAGTTCACTCATTTTCTTTCTCTCTTTGTTAATATCAGCCAGCCCTGTCCCAGGGCTCACTTTGGTACTGGTTGTCAGAACCTGCCTGGTGGCAAAGCTGGGGATGATGCTATTCTTACTGGCCTTGTCTCAGATACACACATGGGCCTGAACCAAACCCCCACCCCAACCCCCTTGCCCTTTGGGGAAATTGGAATCCAGATCCAGACTTGGCAGCTGACCCCTCTCAGCGCCGTGTGCCAAACCAACCCCTGGATCTGAACACCACCTGCATCCAGGGCAGGTTGGATCCAGATCTGAGTCTTGTGGCGTAGGCCCAGGTCAGGTTGCACGGGAATCCCAGCACCTGGGCTGCCTAGAGAAAATCCCCCTCTCCTCTTCATAAGTACTATTTAAAACCCAGGAGACCCATGGCCATGGTACTAGAACTGAACCTGCTGCTCTCCCTAGACTGGGCTAGGCAAAGGCTCCACCGCACCACCCCATTCATCTTGCTCATACCATTGTTTACAAAGCCCAAGATTTACCACTCCTCTCATCCCAGGGCAAATCAGGGGTAGCACCACAGAAGCCATTGGAGTTGCCCCAGCATAAGCCTGGGGAAAGGGGAAAAGACTCAAAGCCGTCCTGTTTTCAGCCATTCGTTAAAACAGTCACCAACACCATCCTTAGGTTATATCCCCTGGCTAGTCCCCATCTCCTGCTGGCCACTCCTAGAGCAGTAATGCAACATAGCTGGCCAGGCTGGCCACCGTGAAGTCCCCAACCACATTCAACGCTGAGATGGAGGTCTGGTCTGCTGAGGCACTGGGTTCCTCCTTGATCTGCGTGGCCTGGCTGGCATGGCCCGGGGGCATTCTCACTCTCTCTCAGGCTGATGAGACGCAAGCCATCCGCTCCTGGCTGCTCTCAACTGGGTGAGACGCAGACTCCCTGGTTTATGTGACAGTGGGGTGTGGCTCCCCTGGCATATTTGCTGCCCTCTGCTGGAGAAGCTGGTGAAATGGTTCCTGCTGATAGAGAACAGAGAGCCCCAATCCAGGCAAGACACATCAGCTTGCTGGGAGAAGGCAGCTGACTTCTCAGGCAGGCTACACTAAGATCCTGCAGATAGAGCAGGGGTCAGAAGCCCCCACTAGCCACCTCCCTGTTTGTGCTCACGAGCTCACCTTCCCACCTCAGCCATGCAGATCAACGTGGACGTGAACTCGGCCGCTGGCCTCCTGGATCAGTTCTATGAGAAACGCCGTCTCCTGATAGTCTCTGCTCCTGACCCCTCCACTCGCTACTACAAGATGCAGATCGCCATGTTGCAGGTGAGCCTCTCCCCTGTGCCTCCTCCAGCCCCAATCCCACGAAACAGCATCTGACTGGCTCTTCTCCTGTCTGCAGCAAGCCACCTGTGGGCTGGACCTGCGGCATGTCACCATCCTCGAGCTGGTGGGGCAGCCCCCCCACGAGGTGGGCCGCATCCGTGAACACCAGCTCTCAGCTGACATCATCGAGGAGCTCAGGTATCAGGGGTGGTGGACAGCCACAATAGCTCACAGCAAGCGGGATCATGACCCCCAGTTCGACCTGTGGGTGCAATACACTGCCAGGGATGGATGACTGTCTCAGTCTTAGGGCAGCTCCTAGCAACCGTAAGAGCCTGCTCCTTAGAAATCCTGTAGCTACTGCTTTAGCTCATGCAGGGCCGGCTCTGGCTTTTTTGCCGCCCCAGGCAAAAAAGCCTCCAGCCGCCCGGAGCCCCGGGGGGAGGGCGGCGAGCCCGGCCGTGGCCCCGCTCTCCCCGTCGGCTGGAGCACCGCGCCGCCCCTCTCCAGGTGCTGCCCCAAGCACAAGCTTAGTGGGCTGGTGCCTGGAGCCGGCCCTGAGCTCATGTAGTGGGGGGGAGGCTTGTACTTTTGGGGCTGAGTGTCCCAGCAGTGACTGTGATGGAGCACAGCTACAGAGTCATTAGAGACACCTGCTTGCAGGAAAGGCACCCATCCTCCTGAGTGCTGGTGGCCTGAATCCTGTCACAAGTGCAGATGACAGCTCCTTCTGCCTGTGTAGCTGGGAGAGTGAATTCCAGCCCTGTCACCTGCTTATGTCAGACACTGAGCTATCCCCACAGAGCAGCAGGGTGGTATCTTAGCCCTAAATTATCCTGCACAGGCCTGTGGAAAACCAGAGGGTCCCACAAAATCCAGCAGTCAGTAACCTAGCTCAGGGGTTGGAGTGCTGGCAGTGGGGAACTGAGTTGTACGCATGTAAATGCTGTCAGTCTCTGTGGGCATAGCAGGCTCTCATCTACCCACTCATTGCTTCCACAGACAATTTCTGCACATCACCCGCTCCACTTTTAACATGGTGCTGATTGACAAGCAGGGCGTGGACCGCGAGCGCTACATCGAGCCCGTCACCCCTGAGGAGCTCTTCACCTTCATTGACACCTACTTGCTGAGCAGCCAGGAGGTCACCCAGCGAGCACAAAGCAGGGACATGTGTGAATGAGTGACTCTGCACAGGTGGGGGCAGATCCCTGCAGTCCGGGTGCCAATGCTCCCACCCCTTCACATTCAGAACCCCATAACCTCAGAGGACAGAGAATTCCCTTTCTGCATTGTCTTGGGTCAGCTGTGAGGAAGGAAACCGTGTCAAAGGTCACAGACTTTTCAGGGGAGCTAGCTGGGCCAAACCAACGTCACACCAGCCTTTTACTGCACCAGGCCAGCAGTGAGGTTAGGAGAAAAGAGGAGTTGGGGAGCATTCTCTCCCCCCTCCCCACCAATCAGCCTGTGCCCAGGCCCAAACCATCACTATCACACCAGCAGGGGGAGGCTACCAGTCAGGAAGGAGGAAACACAAGCCCAGCAGGGTCCGAGCTCAGGTTGGAATAGCAGGAGCTGCTGCATCTCAGGAGCAGAACATCAATGGGTAAACTTAGGTCACCTCCCTTGTTATTTCATTCCCCTCTCTTGTAAGAAACAAGCATGTCCAACAGCAGTAGGGTTCTCAGCCATGCAGCATGCCCTGCCTGCACCCCAGGCCAGGTTTGCCATGCAGTGCTAGCACAGCATGCCCATGCCACACTAGCCCCCTGGCAGAGGACGTGTGGCTCCAGCAATAGCACTCTACCCCAGCACACCATACAGATAGAATCATAGAATATCAGGGTTGGAAGGGACCTCAGGAGGTCATCTAGTCCAACCCCCTGCTCAAAGCAATCCCCAACTAAATCAGATCATGACAAACACATCAAGCATGTTTGTGAAGCCACCAGAGGTGGAGCTGGGATGCTCTGGCAAGGGATGACAGCAGCCGACAGTGGGGCTGCCCAGGGCAGTCTATGAATCCCTGCTGCATGACATGAGGCTTGTTACCAAGAGCTGGAAGAGGGTGAGGCCGGCTGCAGCCCACCACCACCAAGAGCCTGACAATTCTCCAGGGAAGATGGCTTCTCAATCCCAGAGCAGGAACAGAAGATGTTTGAATGACACACTCAACCACAAAGGCTGGGCTTTGTTTAGACCCAAGCAGGCACGAGGTAAGAGTTGGAGAGTAGAAAGAAAGCCACATGGGGAGCAGGCCCAGTGCAGGCCACCTGGCTCAGATAGGGACAGAAGCTGGTGAAGGCCACTCCTTGTAACTTTCCTCAGGCAGCAGGATCTGGCCACCCAGGAAGTTTCTTTCCTATTTTAAAAACGGGTGGGGAAGTGCTTGGTTCATTAAGAGCAAAACCACCCCAGCAGCCCAGAGCCCCCAACTTCCCTGCACACTAGGGCCTGGCCAACCGTCTTAGGGCCACAGCCCATTCTCCTGCCTCATTACAGGACTTCAACAACACTTACCTACTGAAGAAAGGCCAGTAGTACAGGGGACAGGTTTGTAACCCGTCTCTTGCCCCCACCCATCATTCCCTTTCTCCAAGGAACATGGGGATGGGTAGTGAGATGAAACGAGGACAGCACACGGGGCAGAGTGTGGGTAGCAGTGAAGGGTTGACAGAGCTTGCCAGTGGCAGCGATGGGTCCCTTAGCTCAGCAAACATCTAACTGCAAGTTTCAAAGTCTACCTCTTCCCTGGAGCAGACCCTCGGGGACACAGCTCGAGGACATGCTGCCACAAAGCAGTGCTAAGACTGATAGCCGGACACAAGCAGAGCAGACAACAATCTGCGGTGGAAGGCAGCCGGCTGGGGCAGACCAGATTCTATTCTCATCACAGTTAGTGGCAGCAGCTTTTTCCTGGTCTCTCTATGCTGCTCCCTGCCCTTCATACCAAGCTCCAGGAACTCCCTCCCAGAGACAGCAGTAAGTCCCCCCCGCCAGCCCCTGTGAATGACTAGTCCTGACACCACCAGCAGCAGGAAGAAAACCTTTATTAAAACAGATGGCCCTTTGTGGTGAGCCTTGACACAGTAACCAAGCAGGCATTACAGTGCATCTGCCAGTACAAAGACTGCCCTCCCAGACAGTTGCTTGATGTGGATTTTAACTCATGCCCTAGAATTTGCCTTTCCTTTCCTCCAAGAGGGGCTGTTGCCCTCTTGTTGGGCACTGTTTTGACCCCCACAACATTTTGTATTTTAAATGAATAAATCTGTGTAAAATAGCTGGAGCGGGCGTGCTGGGCAGAGGGGAGGGCTTGGCGGGGGGGGGGGGGCGCAGAAGCAACAGTAAGGATTGCTAACAACCCACAGCATAAGGGGAAATAGACCACTGCCCCACCGGAGTCCTGCAGTTCTGGAATGACTGATACCCAGCTACCAGCTCAGATCAATAGCATGCCTGCTCTCAAGAGGAGACAGCATGTGGATGTTTGTTTCAGCGCCACCTCCCCCAGCAGAGATCAGCACAGAGCTCTCTGAGCTGCTTTCCCCTCTGCCAGTGACACGAACACCATAGCCTGATCAGAGGACAGTCCTGTAACAGGCTGGGGCTTGTTTCTCCCTCCCCACACCAGCCCGTGTCTCAACAGCACTGGGTATTCTCACGCTCTACATACCAAATATTGATTGCTTATGCTCATGCAGCCTCTAGTTTGTACAGTCTGATTCTATCTACACCATCCCAGGAGGACAGAGAAGGGGAGACAACAGTGGAAGCTGTAGGTGGGGCAATCAAACAAACTACATGGGAGAGGTGAAGAAACTAAGAAAAACAAGTTTTAAAAGCACTTAGCCCCTGCAAGGGGGGAGACCCTATGGAATTCAATTCCAGCCAAGTTAGGAGACAAAAACCCTTTACATAAAATAAGCTGCTGCCAAGAACAGGCTGTTAGGCTGAGCCTGCAGAAGACACAATTAGCTTTACTACTACACAGGTGAAAGCCAGAGAGCCTGCTCCCACCCCCTTAGATCCTACATGTGGCCCTTGCTGGTGCCATGGTTTTGGCTCTGTTGCCTCCGCCTGGTGCTGCCTTGCTATAGCTGGTTTCAGGCCCAGCGCCCAGGCTATGGCTATGCTCCTGGCTTGGCCATGGTGGAGCGGAGCTGTAGTGTTCCTTCTGCCCAGGAGCCCGGGAACTGGCGCATCTTCTGCCACAGGCTCACCTCCTCTCCTGTGGAGTCCATCCAGTCCACCACCTGGTCCTTACTCATACCTGAGAGAAGGGGAGCGACAGGTGAGTTACTGCAGTGCACAGCCCCGTTCCCAAGCCCTGGGCACACAAGAGCAGCCTCCAGCCGCACAGAAGGGATGCTGGGAAACGGAGCAGCGGCAGGTAATGACTGGGACGGCTGAGCGTGAGGGGGAGCATGGTGCCCAAGGGATTTCATCTTCCTATCAGGCATCGAGCTTCACTGGATGGTGAATGGGGTTCTCCAGGGCAAAGCTGGGGAGGGGGGGGAAAGAGAACTTGGGTGACCCAGCCCACCCATTACACTCTGCTACAGCCCCAGGAGAGCAGGGGCAGCCCCACCCAACAACTGAGACCAGGGGGCAGCTCACCATTCCCAACTCCCAGCCTGACTCCTCCCAGGAAGTCATTGCTGGACAATGGCTCGCGGTCCCAGACAGTCAGCTCCAGACAGATGTGCTGCAGGTCCTCTGGGCGGATGCCATTGTAGACAAAGGTGTGGTTGTAGTGAGGATTCAGGGTCTTCTTCATCACAGGAGTCTTCCTCTTGGTGGCCTTGTTTCGGAGCGGCAGCAGGTAGCTGTGGGAGAGGCCCTTATATAGTTAGCAACTCCCCCTCACAGTGCCCCCCTCCCACCTGAGCAGAAGAGACCATGATGGCTCAGGAGATTGGTAACAGGCTAGGGGATTTCAGATAGTGGGCCCACCAAGGCAGGGATCAGTTCTTCTCTAGAGCTGTAGAGGACCCAAACAAGTGGTCCCAAGTGGGGTTGGGGCCCCAGACTATAGCAAATACATCCAGTGCTGAAGGGACAGCTTTGGATTTGGCCAAGTAATTTGCATCCAATAGTAGTTCAGTGACTAGGGAAGAGGCTGTGTGATTTCAGTGCAGCTCCAACACATGGGAGTCAGTTCTGGAGCGTGAACATAAAGAACAGCCATAGTGGGTCAGACCAATGGTCCATGTAGCCCAGTATCCTGTCTTCCAACAGCAGCCAATGCCATGTGCTTCAAACCAAATGAACAGAACAGGGCAATCATCAAGTGATCCACCCACTGATGAACAGTCCCAGCATCTGGCATTCAGAGACCTTCTGACATCCAGAGTATGGACACCCAGGTCCATTGACGGACCTATCTTCTATGAACTTATCTAAATTCTTTTTTTGAATCCAGTTATACTTTTGGCCTTCCCATCTCCTGGCAACAAGTTCCATGGGTTAACTGTATGTTGGGTGAAGAAGTACTTTATGTTTTAAACCTGCTGTCTATTAATTTCATTGGTGACCCCTGGTTCTTGTGTTATGAGAAAGGGTAAATAACACTTCCTTATTCACTTTCTCCACAGCAGTCATGATTTTATAGACCTCTATCATATCCTGCCCCTTAGTCATCTCTTTTCCAAGCTGAATAGTCCCAGTCTTTTTACTCTTTCCTCATATGGAAGCTGTTCCATACTCCAATCATTTTTGTTGCCCATCTCTGTACCTTTTCTATTTCTATTTCAAGTGTGGGCATACCATGGATTTATATTGGGGCATTATATTTGGTCTTACCTATCCCTTTCCTAATTGTTCCTAATATTGTTAGCTTTTGTTTGACTGCCGCTGCACACTGAGCAGATGTTTTCAGAGAACTATCCACGATGACTCCAAGATCTCTTTCTTGAGTGGTATCAGCTAATTTCAACACCATCATTTTGTATGTATAGTTAGGATGTTTTCTAACAAGCATTATTTTGCATTTATCAACACTGAATTTCACCTATTTTCTTGCCCATTCACCCAGTTTTGCGAGATCTCTTTGTAACTCTTCACAGTCCGCTTTGAACTAAACTAACTTGAGTAATTTTGTATGGTCTGCAAACTTTGCCATCTCACTGTTTACCCCTTTTTCCAGCACTGACCTGAGGACAGATCCCTGGAGGACCCAGCTATTTACCTCTCTCCATTCTGAAAACTGACCATTTATTCCTACCCTTCGTTTCCTGTCTTTTAACCAGTTACTAGTTCATGAGAGGACCCTCCCTCTTATCCCATGGCAGCTTACTTTGCTTAAGAGCCTTTGGTGAGGGACCTTATCAAAGGCTTTCTGAAAGTCCAAGTACACTAGGTCCACTCGATCACCCTTGTATAGATGTTTGTTGATCCCCTCAAAGGATGCGAATAGATTTTGTAAAATCTATTAGCAATAGATTTGTGCCAAACAGTGTTGACTCTTTCCCAACAAATCATGTTCATCTGTGTGTCTAATAATTCTATTCTTTACTATGTTTTCAACCAATTTGCCCGGTACTGAAGTGCGGCTTACTGGCCTGTAATTACTAGGATCACCTGCAGTGGTGCTGGAACTAGAGGTGCTGCACCCTCTGGCTTGAAGTAATAACAACCCAAATACATGGTTTCCATCATCATCAACACACACACACACACCTATAAAAATGGTTCCAAACACCCCTAATCAACGATGGAGCCTTTTTTAAAAACTGGTGTCACATAAGCTATCCTCCAGTCACCTAGTCAGAGCTGATTTAAGTGATGGGTTACATACCACAGTTAGTAGTTCTGCAATTTCATATTTGAGTTCCTTCAGAACTCTTGGGTGAATCCCATCTGGTCCTGGTGACTTATTACTGTTTAATATATCAATTTGTTCCAAAACCTCTTCTATTGACCCCTTGACGTGGGACAGTTCCTCAGATTTGTTACCTAAAAAGAATGGTCAGGTGTGGGAATATCCCTCATGTCCTCTACAGTGAAGACCAATGCAAAAAATTAATTTTGCTTCTCCGCAATGACCTGGTCTTCCTTGAGTGCTTCTTTAGCACCTCGAGTGTCCAGTGGCCCCACTGATTGTTTGGGAGGCTTCCTGCTTTTGACAAACTTATTTTTTGTTATTCGTTTAAGACTTTTGCTAGTTGCTCTTCAAATTTTGTGGCCTGACTAATTATACTTTTACACTTATTTTCCTCAGTAGGATTTGACTTCCAATTTTTAAAGGATGCCTTCTTGCCTCTGTCAGCTTCTTTTACTCTGTTTAGTCATGGTGGCATTTTTATTTGTTTTGGTACTTTTACGATTCCTTTTAGTTAGCGGTATACATTTAATTAGAGACTATTTTGGTGTTTTAAAAAGTTTCTATGCAGCTTGCAGGTATTTCACTGTTGTGACTTTTCCTTTTAATTGCTGTTTAGCTAGCTTCATTTCTGTGTAGTTCCCCTTTCCTAAATTAAATGCTACTGTGATGGGCTTTATGGTATTTCCCCTCCTCCCCCACAGGGATGGTAAATTTATATTGTTCCACTGTATTCACCTCTTGGACCAGATCCTGTGCTTCACTTAGGACTAAAGCAAGAATTGCCTCTCCCCTTGTGAGTTCCAGGACTAGCTGCTCTAAGAAGCAGTCATTAATGGTGTCTAGAAACTATCATTCCATCCTCTGGCAACGTGTTCCCAATCAATAGGGGGATAGTTGAAATCCCCCATTATTATTGAGCTATTTATTTTTATAGTCTCTCTAATCTCCCTAAGCATTTCACATTCTGGTCAGGTAGGCGGTAGTATATTCCTACTACTATATTCTTATTCATGCATGGAATTTCTATCCCTAGACATTCTATGATACAGAGTGATTCATTTAAGATTTTTACTATGCAGCAGAACCCCATTTATTCAACCATCCATTAACTGTCTCTTTGTATTAAATGAACAACCAACACAGATCCAAAAGCAGACGATCTCTTCTGTGGCTGCTAGATGGTGCTGCAGCCTTGCACTTTCCCATTCTCCAAGTTATCCAAATCTTTGATTATCCGATCTGGCCTTGGTCCCAATTAGATCAGAAACAGGGTTCTGCTGTATTTGACTCTACACTTTCTTTTGCATATTGTGCCACTCCCCCACCAGCACAACATATTCTGTCATTTCTATACATATTAGTGTCCCATTGACTGTCATCATTCCACCAAGTTTGTGATATTATATCAATAGCTTCATTTAAATACCAGGTGCTCCAATTCACCCATCTTAGCACTGAGACTTCTAGCATTTGTATACAAGCACTTATAGAATGTCAGTTTTCAGTTGTCTGCCTGCATGATGTAATTGAATGGAACTGTTTCTCTTCAGCTCCTGCCTGCATTTCATCAACTTCCATCCTCTCCTCTTTACTACATATGGAGAACGCCAATTAATAGCTCCTCCCTCCCCCCAGGAAGTCTGTGGGGTTATATTGGCTTGTGACTTCCATCCATGCCCATGAGCTGGAACTCGCCTCTCTCTGGCTCTTATAGAGGACCCCTCCGTGGCCAGGCACTGGGAGGAAGTTTGTGGACCACGCTGCGCTTCTCTTGGCGACAAACCGCAGATTTCAGCTGAGTTGTGGATGCTCAGCACTTCTGAAGCACATAGGGGTGAGCTGCTCCAGACCCCTCCTATCAGCATTTAGGACCTTTCACCACAACAGGAGCACAAGCTCATCAGCATAAACACAACCCTCAACCCCGTCCCAACACCAGGCAGCTGGGAGAGGGTTGGGGACAGAGAGGCCCATTCATTCCCAGGCCCCTGGGTCACTCCACTGCAAAGCATTATCCAGGGTCATTGTAGCTGGGAGGGCTGTTCTGTAGGTGCCGTCCATCTCCCCTGTAACTGGCATGGTTCCAACACACTCACCCCTTGACAAAGCTGTCAGAGGTCCCTCCAGATTTGGCAGCTATGAGGTTCTTGGCCTCTTTGATCCAGACCTGGAGTTCGCCTCCTTCCTCCCGTTTGCCTGGAAGAGAAAGTCTGAATCATCCATGTTTTCAGCCACAGCTTCTCTCCAATCATGGAATGTGACCCCTTCTTTGCATCCCTCCACTGGCATCAAACATAAGCCTCTTGTCTTTGCTTGCAAGACTCTCCACGGTCAAGCTCTCGTTCACTATTGAGGCATCAATCCTCACTGCAGCTGGCCCATGCTGCCAGCTTCCATCACCCACTTGTTAAATTTGCAGACAAGCCCCTAAGTGCATTCTCCCATGCTGCCCCTCATGCTTGGGAGGTGCTCTCTGTAAACATCTGCAAAACTACTTCATTGTCCTCCTTCAAAACCTACCTTAAAACTCTCCTTTGCCGTGATGCCTACAGAAAACCTGACAGTGTTAAGGCTGCTAGTGTGCAAGGACCACTGGCTCTTATGTGGACTCCTTGTACTCCAGTTATCTGTATCCATCTGTGGTCCCTTGTCTTATACTTACTTTGTCAACTCCTCAGGGCAGGGAGAGTTTTTGTTGTTTGTACAACACCTAGTACAATTCGGGCCTGGTCCACAACTGTGGCTTTTAGGCACCAAGGTAATACAAATAAATAGAACTGCTGGCTCACTGAATCTCAGAGAGGCTGGCCCACAGACATCCTCATCTGTAATAGATGTACAGGTCCCAGCATGCTGTGTTTTATCTGCCCCTGAATTGCCTAGCCCGATTCAGGCTGGGTCCTGGATCTTGGGAGAACTGTCCCACAACATAAGACAAGGGCAGCTGATCTGCTCCAGAAGCAAACTGGATGCAGATTGCCAATGCAGCTCTCCGCCCAGGAACCCGGCTCTAGCTTGCATCAAAGCTTTACTGCAATAGCAGCCATTACCATTCAGGCTGAATCTGCATAGAAGGAAAGCCTAGCTAGTAGCACTGCTGAAATAATCATGGATCAGAGTCACATTTCAGAGCTGAAGGTTAAAATATTACAGCTGCTTGGTCCATTAATGGATTAGCTTCTTCCCGAAAACACAACAAGCAGTTCCTGTTCCCGGATGAGCTCTGGATGTTTGGAGACTGGGATTACATACTGGATGCCAGTGTGGATTAGCATCTGGATCTGTTTTCACATATTACTTTATGAGCAGAGGTTCTGCAGCAGCTCAGACACTCACCCTTTTTCCCATTACCCACCCCTGGGTGTTTGGAAGATGGGATGTACTTCATGGAAACAACCAACTCTCCTCTGTACTGCTGGGAGCCAGCAGAGTCAGCACCAGCCTGAAAAATGGGTATCAGAGATTTTAGGGCCACACTTATTTAAGTAAATCTTAAAATTATTACTACTGGAGTCTTGTTTATACACTAATGTGCCCCAGTTCAAAGGGTTTGTTCTTTTAAAAACCAGTTTAATTAAACCAGTGCAGATGTGTGTGGACTCAATATGATTTTTACCAGATTGATCATAAAGACAGACATCTAACTTGTGCAAACCCCACATAGACACTTCTTTTGTTTAACTATAGATAGGTTTCTTATATCAATAACCAGTGCAAGCTGGTGTATAGACAAGGCCTTACTGAAGGTGCTGCCACTCAGACAAACACACTCAGGGTGGAGCTCTCCCAAAGATCTCCTAGAGATCAAGGAGAATTGGACTCATGCAGAATCCCAGACAGCTGGAAGCTCAACCACCTCTACTGCTTGTGCAAACATGAGTTTGCCATGGCGGCAGCTGTTCCACAGTGCCTTACTAATAGCACCCGCTGGCCTGCAATAGGATTTGGATCAGGTCCTCAGAGGTCCATGGGAGAGAACAGTCTCGGACCTTCCCAGCAGGAGAGATGCCAGAGTGTTGGCACCCTGCAGCGGCAGGAATCCACACTACCTTATGAATGTTCACGGACTCCCCTGTTGTCACATAAGGCAGGTGTACTAAGCAGACCCAGAGAGCCAGACTCAGTCAGAAGGACTTTATATGACTATAGACATATTGATTGACTTGTTCAGTAAGTCCAGATCTCTGAAGGTATATGTGGCAAGTGTCTTACTTTGTAAAATAACCAGGTGTCCATCACCCCCCTAGGAAGCAGACTGCCTGCTGACGTTCACTTCTATATATAGACTGATGGACCAGAGTGCTAAGACGCCCTGAGTACGTACTCGTGTGGCTAGCTTGTACGGCCATCTGTGTCACTCCAGCTACATTGCTTTTTTCAAGTGCTCTCTTGAGCGGAACTAGCATATGTACATCTATGCAAGCTGGGAATCACCCCCAGTGCAAACACAGACATACCCTGTGAGGGATCTGTGTCATTATGTTAGAGGAAAGAGCATCTCCCACAATAAAAAGCACTGGCCAGACTAGTGAAGAGCACTGGTCGGGGGAAGTTCACATCTGCTCCAGAGCCACTTTCCTTATTGGGAGAAGCTGTGGTGGATTCCTAGGGTAGGTCAGATGCAAGAGCTACAGGGGCCATACCTTGCCATGCAGGGGGAGACGCTCTTCCACCTGATTCTCAAAGTTCCAGGATTCCATCGGGATCTCCACCTCCCCCAAGAAGGTGTTTCGGCCAAAGCGATCGTGGTGCCAGACTGAGAACTGCAAGGTTCTTGTGAGCAGGAGGGACTTGCTGATCTCATACTGTGAAGAGACAGGACCACAGAGCCAGGTGAGCCAGTGGTGGCTTCCCAGAGCAGCTAGGACCATACCTAAAGCTTTCACTGTGAGGAGGAGATGCCCCTCGGCACTCCTAGGGAGACTGAAGTCTTCCCACCTCCTCTTGAGAGCCCAACTGGTGTGTTTGACTATTGTCACATACTCCTTTTCCCTTCAGGGTTTCACCCACTGTGAGGAAGGTACCAGGCAATGGCTGCCCAGCTGCATTCCAGGAGTCTAGCCACACTGGAGGCATGTACTCTGGGTCCACAGCAGGGACTCCAAAAGCTGCCCACAGAAAAGGAAGGGCCGATTCTGGGAAGGAGCCCCAGGAGCTTAGAGGATTTTTCTACTGAGGCTCAAGTTTTCAGTAAGTCTCCAACATGTGGGACTAAGGTACGTGCACACATGCAAGTGGGCTGGACATCTCACAACCTGCTTTGCCCAGGCAGCTTCAGGTGTGTACACTTGCTGAGTGACTAATCCAAGACCCACGGAGGAGCTGGGCCTGCACTCACCCATTCAAGGGACTCTCTACACTGGGCAGCCCTGGCCTCCTGGGGGCGTGGGAAGCACCTTTAGGGTAGAGGTCTGGAGGCTGGGGAGCAGAGAGTTCTGCTCAGTCCATCTCTGAGCACAGGCCTGGCCTTGGGTGGGCACAGTGGAATTGCTCAGATTTGGGGATGAAGGTTACTGAAACAGGAGGCTCCAGAAACTACTGGAGCTTTCTGGATTCCAAAGCTTTAATTGCCACCCTCCGTCCTTTGTGCTCCCTGCATTTATAGCAGGGGAGGGGGGCTGCCCTGGCATTTATTTATATCGGCTGCAGCACAAATTCTGCAGCAGAAGCCAGTACGCGAAGCATGCATCTGGCAGCATTCCCCCTGCTGGATCCACACGGCTTGGATTTAGCTGGCTCCCTGCTCAAGTGACTGTACTGCCCTCTGGTGACATCGCTGCAGCCGGGAGGGGCCACAGAAAGCAACCTTTCAGAGATGGGAAGGGTGCTCTGAACAGGAAAACGCCCACCCTCCGGTGACGGTGGCAGGATGCTAGGCAAAGCAAGCAGAGCAGGAGAGTGATGTGTCTGCAGGGAGGTCATGGCATCCTGACACACAGTTCAGGGCTTTAGCTATGCCTGGCCAAGTCACCACGGCAACAGGGCTACAAAAAAAAATGCAGTGACGTCAGCAAGACAGCCCTGCACAGACTGTCAGTTATCTTGGTCCCTGCCCCAGTGCTCGGAGCCTCGTGCAGGATTTTCAGAACTCTGACTCTGGTCTACATGGGAAATCAGCGTCCCTCTCCCTCCCAGCAGCCCCAGCTGAGGTCCAAGAAGGAAGGGGCTGTTTTCACTCCATCAGTGAAGCAAAAGGATGAAGCGAGGTGCATCTGGTGGTGAAGCCTCCCTGCCCTGGGTCTTATGATTTGGGCCAAGCATCTGCCTCCCCAACTGAGCTTGTGATGGAGCTCTCTCTAGGGTAGGTTGGAGACAGCCAATAACCCCTGCCCCAGAGCTCACCTTGAGCAGCTCATTGTACAGCGGGTTGACACTGTTGCGTTTGATGGTTGTCTTGCGTTTGCCTTGCCGGGATTTATCAGGCAGGAGGTACGTCTTCACGTATCTGGAGGAGGCAAGCAGGCAATGTCATCCATTTCACGGGCATCTCCCCAGACCTAGCACATACTCCTGCTCTTTGCCCCCCACCCACCACTGCCAGCCACACCTCTGTTCCTGGATGGCAGCTGTCCATCTCAGACGCCTAGCACGGGAGCTTTCCTAATCAGTACGGCAGCACGTAGCACAGGACAGGTCCAACCCCCCCCCGCAGTAAGGTCAGCACCTGTGGCAGGCAACCCCCCATTCGTCCAGCCCCATGCCCATATCCCGTGCCAGAGGCAGCTTGCTCAGCACTCACGGGTTGGAGCGCTTCTTGGCCTCATCAGCATAGGCTAGCTGGCGACACTCCTTCACATGGATGAACAGGGTCTGAGTCTTGTGCTCGTAGCTCAGAGAGAAGGCGATCTCTCCTGTGACACAGACGTTGCCAAAGTCACCAGCCTCGCTGTAAATGCTGACCATGCTCCCCAGGGTGCTCTGAAAGACATGGTCCCGGTAAGATTTACGCCCCTAGTGCATCTTCAATTCCTCCCCCATGTCTGCCCTCCTGACCACTGGGCTGGAGTCACCTTCCCCCAACCAGTTAGCCGTGGTAAGTACTCAGCACCTTTCACACCCTCTTGCGAGCTCTATCAGAGAGAGACGCTCAAGCTGAAAGTCCAAGGCAGAGCTCGGCACAGTACCTAGCTCTGCTAAACCTGTGCTCTAACCACGAGACAGTGCTGCCTCCCTGCTTCCTAACCCCAATCCTCACTCAAGCATTTCTTCCTGCAGTCCTGGGGGGGGCGGGGGGGCAGTGGCAGCAGAGCCAGAGGGACACTGGCAGCAAAGCCAGAGGCGGGATTTGATAGTCTTCAACTACCTGAAGGGGGGTTCCAAAGAGGATGGCGCTAGGCTGTCCTCAGTGGTGGCAGATGACAGAAAGAGTAATGGTCTCAAGTTGCAGTGGGGGAGGTCTAGGTTGGATATTAGGAAACACTATTTCACTAGGAGGGTGATGAAGCACTGGAATGGGTTACCTAGGGAGGGTCTCCATCCTTAGAGGTTTTTAAGGCCAGGCTTGACAAAGCCCTGGCTGGGATGATTTAGTTGGTGTTGGTCCTGCTTTGAGTAGGTGGTTGGACTAGATGACCTGCTGAGGTCTCTTCCAACCCTAATATTCTATGACTCACCGAAGAGGTACCGCTGCGCATGCTGCTTCTGGCCGTCCTCCGGCGATGGATCTCCACCAGGTTGTCAATGTCTTCCTCCTCCTCATCCTGCAACAAGGGATACAGCCATCCGTACCGGCCGGAAAACCAAGGCAGCTAGACCCCTCCAGCAGCAACCCTGCCAGGGAAGCAGCCCCAGCCACTACGGGTACAGCTACATGGCAGTGAGTCCCAGAACCTGGGTCAATTGACTCAGGGTCCCCTGCAGGGCTAAAGATAGCCACGTAGACTTTCGGGCTCAGTCTGGTGAAACTCGGCAAGTGGGGAGGGTCTGAGCACCCAGGCTCTGGACCAATCCCTGATATCTACACGGCCATCTGTAGCCCCACACCGCAAGCCCGAGTCAGTTAACCCAGGCTCTGAGATTCGCTGCTGCGGGGGCCTATTTGCTGTGTAGATGTACCCGAAGGCTCCTTGCCCAACACCCAGTCCTGTCAGGTGTACTCGCCTCAGACCAGGGCAAGATGCCCTGAGCAGGCAGGCCAGCACAGAGGAGAACAATGACCTGACTAAGTTCCTCCCCTACAGCCACAGAGAGTTCATTCAGACAAGATGTGAGGCTATCGCTGGAGACCCGCAGATGTGCAATAGGGTCTGTGCTTCATTGGGAGTTTAGATAACAGCATGGTAGCCTGCAGCTGAACTGAAATGGAAGGAGGCCGGGGGGAGCAACTCCCCTTCGATCCCATGGGCCTCAGAGAAAGGTGGGGTGAAAGAGAAGCCTCCCTCTTAAGCAAACAAGTTAATTCAACGCAGCTCAATAGGCTCTCACCACTTCAGTTTTGAGACCTGGGACCGACTTGCTTCTGTCTCCCATGGAGCCACTTTCACTTCCCAGCTCCTCCGGGCGCAGATCAATCACTGACTTGGTGTAGTCTGTGTCGGAGACAGGAAGGTGAGATGCCTCCAATCCCAGCCATTAGTGCAGTGCTAGCACGCTGTTACAAGCATATCTGGTGCTCACTCATCCACTGGTCAAAGTGTGTTACAGAAGCAGGGAAGCATTGCTATTCCCCTTTTGAGGGCAGAGGAACTGAGGTGGGGTGAAGTGACTTGCCCAAGGTTGCTCAACAGGTCAGCAGCAGAGGTGGGAACAGAACCAAGGTATCCAGACTCAGCCCTGCACTTTGTTTCCCAGAGCACAGCTGCCAGGGTCCCCAGAGGGCAACTCACCTGCAGGCCTCAGGGTCCTCCTGGGATTCTTCTTGAATATGGTTTCATTCTCATCTGCGGATGCTGCACCATGGCTCCCCACACGAGCCTCCTATGAAGGGAAAACAGGCTGTTCAGAGAGGGGGAACTAGACTGTATATAACCCCCGGCCCCAGAGCCCACAGGGCAGGAGAATCCGATCGCTGCAGCACTGGTGGCGGACACATACACTTTCTGAACCGGAGGGAGTAGTGTCTCTGGAGCGGGTGGGGATGGGCAAGGTGGATACGTTGGAGCCCACGGGACCAGGCCTTTGCTTCCCCTCTTGGAAAGTAACAGTTTTATCCAGGGAGTTTCTCCTGCAGACAGTAGAGGAAAAAGTCAGACTAGCTCTGTATCCATCCAGCATGAGAGCTCTTTGCTGGGGGGGCTGGGCAGGGGGAGGGGGGAGACTGCCTAGCAACCAGAGTTAGCTTGCCTATCAGCCAATATCTTGACTTTCTCAACAAGCATCGAAACAGCCTTCTGAGTGAGATTAGAGTGTCTCTGTCTACCAGCACCATGTGCTAAGAGAATGAGCAGGGGAAGACGTGGGGGAATCCTGCCTACCCAGTGTAAGATTTAAAAACAGTAAAAAAACCCACCTTTTTCCCTAGCACTGCATTCTGCACTTGCCACTCTGCCTGCATCACAGCCAGCTCAGAGTTACCTACTGTTTAGGCAGCAGCAGCACTGCTCCCAGTTCCTCTCATGGCTCCAGGCCTCCTGGGGTGTATCAGGACTTTACAGGCAGCAGGGCACCAGCCTGTTCAGCACACGGACCGGAGCACCCATGGGCTCAAAAGGGACCAGGGCTTGGGAGACAGCTGTACCTGTTGGAAGGGGAGGGGAGCAGCATCTAGAGCAGGTTAGGGAGTCATCTCCCCATTAGTGTCTCAGCTAAGCATTCCTGGGAAGTGGGGTCCCAGCTCACCTTCAGAAGCATCCCTAAAGCGTGCCCTTTTCCTCCTACTCCAGATCTTTAAAGGACCCTCTCCACCTGCCCTTTGAACCGTTTACTTAAGGCAGGGGGAGAGAGGGAGGCAGGGAGAAGACAGCAACACAGGAAGTGGGAGGAGCCAAGAATCTGACCGCTCCTATTGACTGTTTCTGGGCACAGGAATCAGTCTCTAACCTGGAGCTGACACCTGTGCCAGTGGCGTTGGGTCTGTACCCATCCAGACTCATGTTCTCCATGGACTCGGTATCACTCTTCCCATCTCGGGGGTCCAAGGCTTCAGGAGGCATGCTGGGAAAAAAACAAATCTGTCCCTATGGTAGGAAGGGCAGTTCCAGACTGCAGTGCAGGAGGCCCAACCCCTCCTGAGAGACAGGGAGATCCAGGGTGTCAGCCACTATGCTGTATGGCAATATGGGCCTTTGGAGCAACTGGCAGCACTTTGATTTTTGCCACACAGGGCCTAGAGGAAGATACCAGCCCCTGAATGCAGCCATTTTATTTATAAGGGCAGAAGATGGGTTTAAGATAAGCAGAGCCACGTGGTGGATTTGTAGGTCAATAAGAGAAGGGCTTGATCAGATTAGACCTGCATCAGACCACCACCACCACGTTGATCATGGGAGAGCTGGATTGGCTTGGAGACCTATTGAAGCTCTCTGGAAAACTCCATTGGAGGGTTGGGTTACACAACGGCAAATCCTCCTCATCTAACAGCATCAGGAAGGGGCCTGGAAAGGAGCATCAACAAGACAAGGGAGCTTTAAAAAGGTCTGGTCTATTTTAGCTGTATATGGTCTCCATAAGCCAAAGTGGCATTATGGGACAGCCACCGTAATTTACATTTTCATGCCATCACCCAGATGAGCCACTTTGGTGCCAGATATCAGAGGGGTTGCCTTGTTAGTCATTTTGGTGCCAGAAAGCATAATGGGCTGGGATAACACCTATCTCCCATGGTTCCTCTTTTGGGACAACAGATTCCAGCTCAGCGCCCCGTGGCCGAGGGGTGGTATCATTCCCACTGCAGGCAACAGGAGGACATAGTTGACCATATGAAACGATACAAGAGGCAGAATATCACACAAAGTCCATGGGACACAAGCACAGCCAGCTGATCAGGTGCAACCGACAAGCACCAAAGCATCTCACCAACAAGGGGAGGGTATCATGCTGGGGGCCTTCTGGCTGAAGGAACAGGGCAGGAGCAACAGCACCAGTTTAGCCCTTCTGCAGTTCGTGGCTCTTGGCCATTCTTACATCACACCTTGAAGTGATTTTCTAATACGTTCATCAGGCATAGTATCTGACTGTCTGTGCAAGGGAAATTGGGAGCGACAGACAGTCCTGGTCCCCTGCCCCAGGGCTGGGAGGGCAACTGAGGAAAGGATCTTCCCCAATCTATTTGCCAAGGCCTAGAGATCCAGAGTCATCTGCTGTAGCATCCACCAGCAAGACTCAGTCTGCGCCAGGAGTTCTCAACAATTTTTTTGGTGACCTCAGAGTGCAGCCACCAACTCTTGCTGATGGCCACTCTGACATCATGGTTTTTCTGTCCCTGCCTCCCACAGCCCTTCAGTGAGAGCCTGCCCCGTGGAAGGTGGTGTGACGAAGTGGGACTGTTCTTAATATTTCCTCTGAATACTGTGTGGGTGCCTCAGTTTCTGGCCGACCCTCTGTCGCCTGGCAACTAATGGCCAGGCCCTTCCCCCCTGCAAGGAGATGCTAAAGGTGTGGGAGAACAAAGAGGTCAGGTGACCTCCTGGCCCAGGAAAGAGACAAAGCCCAGAGGAGGAGGGGCTGGAGGGGGATTTCAGTTGGAGCTAGCTGGGGACGGGGAGGGAGGGCAGACCGGAGTGTCTGACTCTCTGAACTCCATAATGGACCCGGCCGAGGGGTCCCGTTCGCTGCTGTACCTACAAGCTCTGTTTTAGACCATGTTCCTGTCATCTAATAAACCTCTGTTTTACTGGCTGGCTAAGAGTCACGTCTGACTGCAAAGTGGGGGTGCGTGCAGGACCTCTGGCTTCCCCAGGACCCCGCCTGGATGGACTCGCTGTGGGAAGCGCACGGAGAGGCATATGCTGAATGCTCCAAGGTCAGACCCAGGAAGGTGAAGCCGTGTGAGCTTCTTGCCCTGAAGACAGTCTGCTCTGAGGGAGAGGAGGCTCCCCAAAGTCCTGGCTGGCTTTGTGGGCAGCAGTTCCAGAACATCGCCCAGGGACTCCGTGACAGGTGGGTCAGGAACTCACCAGCTGCCTGCAGAGTTCCAGGCTCCCCATGCCCCAGCCTGGCAGGAATGGGGGAGCTGCCTAAGGGAGTGCCCCGGGGACCAAAAGCCGCAGCCGCTTCCAGCACCACGTGCACTGACCTCATGTGTCTCCAGAAGTGCTGCCCAGAGCCCCCGAGGAAGTTGCACGGTGCAGGGCACTGATCCCTGCTGGTGGCACCAGCACATACACCAAGGCAGCGCATCTCACTGCCCTTGGTACCAGCTATTCAGGAGCAACAGCTGGGCGCTGCAGGGAGGGGGTCGCTGCTTTGCCCCCCCCATCTCCACCCCTGGTTTGGAGGCTGACATGGCCGCATTTGAGAAACGCTGGTCTATGCCCTATACAACTACCAGTCCTCTTCCCATAAGAGAGAACATCTTCTCAAAGCCCACTGCTCTGCCCCATGCACATGGATTTCAGGTCATTGCTTACCTGAGAGATCTGAAGTGAATGCAGGGAAGGTGGGAATGCAGGGAAGGTGAATGCGGAGGCTCAGAGGACACCTGCAGGATGGACTTAAGACTCACCTGGGCTCCTTCTGTTGCTCCTGGGGACTCTTCTGCTTTGCCACGGGGGAGTCTTTTGGATCGTTCGGCTGTGCCTGCTGGAGAAGGGTTTGCCCCACAGTCTCTCTTTTGTTGGCTGGAAGAAAATAAAAAACAATGCAAAGGCAACCAAGATGGCAGGAGAGCAGCCCAGCAGGGGCAGCTTGCAGAGACCTCTGGCATCTTATTTCCCCATCGAAGTGCTAACTCTGCCATCGCCATGAGCAAGAAAACAAGTGCCTACATCCAACCTGGAGAGCCCCCTGGAGTGAAATGGGGCCTGTGTCCATGGCCTCTCTGTACAGAGGCCGCCAACTAGGCTGCATCCCAGAGGTGGTTTTCTGGAATAGGGCCCCTCCCCACCCAGAGCTTGGCTGTTCCTACCTGGAGGTTTGCGCCGAAGGGACATTCTCACTATGTCGCTCCCCAGCCTGTTTGCAAAGCGATTGATTCTTTGGTCATAGAACCAGTCACCGGTTGTCTTCTTCAGCTCTCTGCAGGGGAAAGAGGCAGTGAGAGGCCATTCTCACCCTGTGTAAGGTCAGTGTTCTCTGCTTCCTTTGCTCTACCACCCTGCAGGAGGAAACACTGTTGGAGTAATGTAGATGAGCATGGCAATTTTAGGATGCAGATGCATAGAAAGACAAGATCCGAGCCCCAAAGAGCTGTCAGGCTAGCCCTGGGCATGCAGTCCCGAAAAGGCCTGCATACACTGTCAGCAAGGAACAGACACAGGATGCCTGGTGCACAGGCAGCAGGAAGCTCTCCCGGTGTGAGCAGCAGCAGGAGAGATGCTGCGGAGCTACAAGTGGGAGAGGGACAAGGGACTCAGGTAAGGCAGGGCAGAAAAGGAGAGAAGGGTCTGTTTTTTCACCACCAAAAGCTTGCATACTGCCAGCTTGGTGCACAAAGAGAATGGGACGAGGGGCATTGGAGGGGAAGACTAATAGCAGAAGTGCTTGGAACAGACTGGGAGGGAAGAAGAAAGGCTGGACTCCAGGGTAGGTGGAGAGTGGAACAGCTGCGGCAGGAGATAACCAGGACAACAATCAGCAGCAATAGAGAAGGATGGATGGGTTTTAGAGATGTTGGAGGAAGCCATGAGGTCTTTGCAAGAGCTTACTGTGGGTGGGAGCAGGGGAAGAGAAGAGCAGGATGGCATCCAGGTTGCAAGCCTGGCGACAGGGAGGATGAGGAAGGCAGCCATGGCCTGTGCAGAGAGAGAGAGACACTCAGCCTGAACTCTCCCCAGGGAAACACTCACGCTTCCTTGGTGCAGACTTTGCAGCGCCAAGTGCTGTTGATGCTGTAGGAGCGGCAGTCCCGACACACCAGGTGGTTGCAGCCGCGGCAGGTGTTGGCCTTGGGGCTCACGCGGCCCAAGCTCTGCTGGCACCGGGCACATGTCCGCTCGCTGTAGCGCTGACTGCCCCGCTTGGCCCCTTTGCGCCGGATCTCCAGCAGCTCATTCTTCAGTCGCCTGTTCAGATGCAAAACCCATGAGCAGTTAAAACCCACACAGAGCCCTGAGTCGATGCTGCCTCTTAGAGCAAGTCAGGACAGGGCAGTGATGCCTGGGCAACCACCACCATTTACCTCCCCATCCAGGAGGAACAGAGCACAATACCAGTAGGGCAGCTAACTACAAGACCCATGTCCATCCCCACCCTGCCATTTACAGGCAAAACCCTACCAGCCATCAAGGAAGCACAGACTGCAGCGGAAGACTTTGAAGGAAAAAGAATCTCCCCCCTACCCAGGCTCTCACCTGACCCTTCTCTCCTCAGCCTTGCGGAGCTCTTCATCTCGCTGCAGGACTTGCAGGATCATATCCCTCTCTGCCTCCGACAGGAAAGACAGGTCCACAGCCTCCGACATGGCTTATCCCAGGAATCGCCTGCCTTTTCCTGAAAGCAGCTGGATTCCTCAGAGCTGGAGGCAAGTTAGCAAGTTAGTACAGCCAAGTGCAACACTCCTGGGTTCTTCTAAGCCCCTGTACATTTGCATGAAGCAATAACTCATTGATAACTTCAGGTGGCCATCAACTGCCCCTGTATCTACTCTGCCTCACTGCACTTTAATGCAGGTACTCCCCACAGCCTTGCTGTGAGGTGGGACCAACAGTCACTAAAGCATGATCAGCTTCATCCCTGCGCCTGGCCTAAGAGCATGCTGCCTCTGCTGCCCTCCCAGCACCAATTACACACCCTGTTTAGAGAGTTCAGTGTTTTGGAAGCTCTTAGCCCCCTGCATGTGGCCTTAATGAGCCTCCATGGGAACATCCAGTGGCTGAGTTGTTTCACCAACACACTTGGAGTTTCCTGCCTGCATCCAGCACTTGCAGACAGACCCAGCCTGGAAAGGGATGGTGGTGAAAAGAACAAAACAGGATGGATTGGAGTTCAGAGTTACAGCGCTGTGCCTCCCCTACTGACAAAGGCCCAAGTGTCCAAGCACAGCAAGGCCTTCTGAGCCGCAGACCTCCCCAACCCCAAGGAAGCAAGGCTACTGCAAGGACTCTGGAAGCACAGGATGTAGGATCTGGCCTACGAGGCTTCCCTCAGAGCCCAGAAGAGGCAGGAGAGCAAAAAGATCAGGCCCCTCTCGAAGCTGCCATGAGCAGTTGCTTGCAGTATTTCTATAGAGCTTGGACCATATCTAGGTCACTTCCTGTCCCAGCTCAGCTCATCGGGGTCAGACACACCACACAAGAGCGCCAAGCAAGAGCCTTCAAACAAAGTGTCCCTCCCCCATCTCAGGAACAGTTTCCTCAGGGCTCTGAAGCACACAACAGCAAGCATATGCTGCTATCAAGAGCAGCACTCCCCCCTGTCTTGTTCACCCAGAGCCTTGCAGGTTCATTTCCTGGTCTGGAACCCAGCTATGTCCAGTGATGCATTTTCCCCTACCGTCAGCAGGAAGTTCACACTCCCTTGATGCTGCCCGAGTGACCTTCCTGCCTCCTAGATGACATCACACTCCATTGTTACGGCTACAGATGTGCTGTGACTTCTCAGGACAGTGGGAATCAGGGATTGCCTAGGAGCAGGAGGCCAGGACTCCCAGAAGGAAGTTGAGAATCTCATTGAGTTCCAGCTCAAATGTGTTGGGGTTTTTTTTTTGGTTTTGTTATTTTTTAAATACAAAAGAAAGCCAACCCTGCCTTAGGATTTGCCTGTGAATTAACTCAAGAGAGCACAGATCAAGACAGAGCAATATATTAACCCCTGTGCTATTTTCAAACTGAAGACCCTAAGCAAAAATAAGTTGCATATTGGAATTTATTGTACTCAGTGTGACAAACTTCTAAACTTGTTTATATAGAGAAAAAACCTGCACCAAAGATCAACTCTGCACAAATAACCTCATCTTGTAAACCACCTCTTTAGGGTACTTAGGTTCCAGGTTTTGTTTGACCTTTAGTTAAAGAGCCACCTCTACTAGGCAACTCATCTTTGCCGGTTCCTTAGTCCCATTTTCAGTCTATTTAAGCGAGATTTTGTGTTTCAAAAAAGGCACACCATTCCCATTGTGATGGGTGCAGTGTTAAAGACAAAAAGCCAAGGGATTTGGCCCCAATGTTTTGTTTTTTCATTAAAAAAAAGAAGAAGTATTTTCACAAGATTCTGAGATGACTAGAAATAACACCTGGACTGTTTAAAAAGCATCACCCTCTGGTTTACAGTACTGTGCTAATCCATGTGAGAACTGGAAAGTGAAACTGATCAGCATATCATTGTTCAAGCAGAACATGAAAAACCGTTAATATTACATTTTTAATAACCCAAGGTGTCCTTTATTTAGGTTGCTAAGAAAGGTAACATATGAATTTTAAACTGCCCATGTTCCTTTAAATGGCCTTGTTCTACAAACATGCAAGAAGGTAGAATCTGGGTTCCAAAGGAATGGAAAAAGGAGCAGCAATAAGAACAAAAGCAATGGGGAATATCAGTGGGCTAATTGAAGTCATGATCAGTACTTTATTCAGAGCCGCTCTGAAACAGTCCCTCAGCCCCATGTCAAGGAGTAAGATGCATTTCTTACTTCACGACTTGCAGTAAGTTGGTTAAAAGTCTTGTCTGGATACCAGAGTGATTGGCACTTTGATAGACGATCCAGGAACAAGCAAAGTAATGACAGTCTCTCTGCCAGCACTCAGTTAACATGCTTATATACGCTATTCACTTCCTACTCAGTCACCATTATCAAGCCCTACCCAGAATACATTCCTCAGACTCTTAGCCATAGAAATAGGAGTACTTGTGGCACCTTAGAGACTAATAAATGTATTTGAGCATAAGCTTTTGCGGGCTAAAACCCACTTCGTCGGATGCATGCAGTGGAAAACACAGTAGGAAGATATATATACACACGGAGAAAATGAAGAAATGGGTGTTGTCATACTAACTATAACAAGAGTAATCACTAAAGGTGGGCTATTTCTAGCTCTCCCCATTCCTGGAGCTCCATGCTCCTGACACATTCCGCTGAGTCTGTATCAGCTACAGGGATTTTAGCTAAGAAGCAGGATGCAGATTTGAGACCTCTCTAGAATCACAGCTGTATTGGCCATTTCCACATTTTCTGTAGCATAATGTTCTGGGAAAGAAGGGCTCACTAGGACTGGGTGAACATCTGGAAGAGACAATATCCTCAACCATCCCACCACCAGTAGGCTTTGGTGATGCTCTCATTTATTCTCTCCCCTTTCAACTCTACTGTAGCACTTTTCCTCACAAATGGGATCTGTCTAGATAGGTATCTAGAGTTCTAGGCCTGAAGAAGAAAATCAACAGTGAGCAGCTTCTAAGGTAGTTGGAGCACCAATCCAGTGGAGAGAAGAATGGAAGTTGCTGAGATTCTGTTTGGTTAGAATTGGCTTTTCTAAATTGCTAGCCAAATGAATGCTTAGGCATCATAAGGCAGGTCTGCAGAGAGACAAGCATCTTCCCTTTTAGTTCTGTATTCAGGAGTACCCATTTTGGACTCAATACTTAGATGGACTGGATGGGTGTTTTCTCAAACTAACTTTTAAGTTCTCAGTCATGCATCCAGACAGATGAATGTTGAGAAATTTCTTCTGAGAAGTTCAACAAGCTCTCTCTTTAGTGCAGCCACTCCAGAAGGTACTTTTGTTCCTGTAGATCCCACCTGAAGGCAGCCATTCCAGTACACTCCCTGACAGTCATTGCGAGGGCCTCTGCAACCCAGAGGTTAGAGCAGGGAAGGGTCACCACTTGAAGATGGAGTGTCCACACTCAGACCAGGGGAAGGACCCAGGACAGTGGAGGCTGTTTGCAGATACAAGAAATATTAGCCCAGCAGCTACATGCAAGGTCAACGCCAATTCCCCTCTCCCTGTGCAATGTCCTCTTGTACCCAAGTGATCATGAAGAGAAAGAATGAAGCTGGACAGGTTGAGTAACCTCTTGTTTGACAGAGTGAACTGGCCTCCCAAGGGAGCCTCACCTTGCCATATGTTCTCTGATCACTATACTTCCAACTCCCCAGGCTTTGCTTCTTTAGTGAAGTGGGAAGGGGCTGAGGACAAGGGAGCCAATGCTTCCCTAGGAACACTGCACCCTCTAGGACAGTGCCAGAGCAAGACTCAGAACCGCAAGTACCCACCCTCTTCCACCTCCAAAGAGCCAAGAGCCGTGTAATCCCAGTCCAGCCTGGGAGGGCCACTGCTTTTTATTCTCTTGGAGCTACACAGCCCCAGGGCTACATGCTGGCTTCCCTCCAACCCAGGGGTATTTGGCAGTACCTGACTTCCTCACAAGGCCTGGGACTGTCAGGCTTTCCTGTACGTGGAACTGCATAGGAAAGGCTGCCAGGGGACACCCTGCAAGAACCTTCCCTCGCCTAGCTATCACCTACCTGTATTTAAGAAGTGCATAAGCTCTGGACCAACTCTGGTTACTACAGAGGGAGTGCAAACCTCTTTAGATTACATCTTCTTCTAACCCACTCTGCGTTACACTAGCTGGACTCTAAACTCATTTCCCAACATGTAACCCATATCCCTAAGAACACAAGAATGGACCATTGGTCTGACCCAGCATGGCCATGTAGCCCACCATCCTGTCTTCCAACAGCAGCCAATGCCAGATGCTTCCGAGGGAATGAACAAAATAGAGCAATGTATCAAGTGATCCATCCCATCATCCAGTCCCAGCTTCTAACAATCAGAGGTTTAGGGCCACCCAGAGCATTGGGTTGTGCCCCTGACCATCTTGGCTAATAGCCATAGATGGACCTATTTTTCACAAACTTGTCTAATTCTTTTTTGAACCCAGTTATATTTTTGACCTTCACAACATCCCCTGGCAATGAGTTTCCACAGGTTGACTTCCACAGTACTTCCTTTTGTTTTAAACCTGCTGCTTATTAATATCATTGGGTGACACCTGGTCCATGGGTTATGTGAAGGGGTAAGTAACATTTCCTTATTCACTTTCTCCACCCCAGTCATGTTTTTATAGATCTCAACTAAGTGGGAATGTGATAGTCTCTTTTCTAAGCTGAACAGTCCCGGTCTTAATCTCGCCTCACATGGAAGCTGTTCCATCCCTCCACTTTCTTCCCGCATTCCCACTTCCACACCATCTCTGGATTGGGCCCCCAAGTTCAGGCTGCCATGCCAAAGGTCAGAAGAAAGGAGTTAGCATGGAAAGTGACTGCAGGATGTGAACTGAAACTACCACCCCCTTCTCTAATTTACACCTTCTGGCCACACAAGTTACACCAACCACACACTCTCTCTGAAGTCTGACATCTGTACATGTAGACTAATTCACATTGCATCATCTTACATCTGAAATTGGTCTGTCTCCAGTGTTCTACACACACAGGAGCACCTCTGCAAATGGGAGAGAAAGTATTTGCATAAAGGTTTTAATTAGGAATGTGACTCACAGATGAAGATTAGCAGGATCTAACAAGTGGAGAAGGTTTCAACACAACAGTCCCATAGCTATTATTCCACATGAACGCCAAGCAATGTCCAAGCATATAAGAGAAATACAGCCTCTACCTCCGTACTTATAAGCCCCATTCCTTCACGACAGGATGTGCGCAAATGAATGCATCCTCCCACCACCCAGATGAAGCAGGGAACTGAGTTATTAGAGTCATGGTCCTTTCCTGTGGCAGGAAGCCTGGGACTGCTGTGCAAGGTTCTGGAAAGCTCGAGCAGATCTGGAAACAAACTCTCCCTCCCCACCAAACACAAGCTGCAATCCTTCCTCTCCCCTCCTCGCTGACCTGCCGTGAGAGCTGGAGAGACTGAAAGTTTGGGAGTGGGAGCAAATTCCTGACCAGCTTAAGCAGTGAACTGCCACAGCCAGCCTGACCCAGACACCAAACCCCTCATGCCCGCCACGACAAACCCCAGCCATGCACTACTATGTGGCACACCCCCAATCTACCCACCACCGCACCAAGGGGTTTGCTACCCGCACAGCAATCCCCAAGCTTGCTTACCACACACGCTCCAGAACTGGCATCTACACTCTGCCTGTGCTGTCCCAGCTGTGCAGGAAACACGTCTGTAATAAGCCAGGCTCTGCTATCCGAAAGACAAACCTCTCCAAGAATGCCAGGAAGTCAGGATCACAACCAGCAGCCCGTCCCAGCGAGCTGGTCTGGGGCCAGCACCCCAAGCAACACACAACTCGGCGGTGTCCGGGCTCCGCCGCAAGCTCAGCGATCGCGCAGCCCTGGAAAGCCCCTGGCAAAGCAAGGAGAGAGTCAGGCCACGGCCAAAGCCAGAGCTTCTTTCCCGCAGCCCCTGAACAGCAGCGCCCCAGCAATTCCCCGGTCACGCCGTCCGCACCCCGGGCTGGGGGACACCCCGCTCCGGCACAGGGACCGGCCGGCACCCACGTGTCCCCACTACCCCCAGCGCCGGGCACCGCCACGACCGGGTGTTGGAGCCGGAGACGGCGAGTGCCCAGGCCGCCCCCTGCACGGCACCGCGGCCCCAGGCCCGCCCACAAGGACCTGCCTGCGGACACCGCCCCGATCCGCCGCTGCGCCCCGGCTCCGCAAGCGGCACCCGCCGGCCGGCACCGCCAGCTCCTAGCAGCCGCAGGGAAGAGGGAGCTGGACGGAGCCCGGAGCGATACCTGCGGCGTCTCCTGGCCCGGCGGCTGAAACTTTCGCCCCGCGTGGGTGGGGCCGGATCCTTAAAGGGGCCGCGCCCCCTCTCACCTGCTCCCTCCCTTAAAGGGACCGTGCCCAGCCGGAGAAGAGCCGGCGAACGCACGGGGCCCCTGGCACCGGGGAGGGGGACAGGGAGGACACGACCCCCCCCCCCCGGGGCCCCCCATGAGGGGGGGGGAGACCGCCCCCCCCCTCCCCCCCCCCCCCCCCCCGGCCCCCCCCCCCCGAGCCCCCCCCCACCCTGTTCCCGCTGCCCCCCCCCCCCCCAGCCAACACCTGCTGTTCCAATCCCACCTCCAGCTCTGCCAATGCACCTCAGCCATGACAATGCAGCATGCCCTGAGAATTCCAGGGGTGGCATCACTTGGCATCAGACATCAACTTGGCATGGCTTTACATGGAGAGGAGACCTTTCAGGTGCCCGATACCCCCCAATGCAAGGGAGCAGTCAATGAAATTGAAAAGCAGTAAATTTAAAACTGATGAAAGGAAATACATTTTTACATGATGCATAATAATCTGTGGAACTCACTGCTACAAGATAGTAAAGAGTTTAGCAGGGTTAAAAAAAGGACTAGATATGGACGTGGAAAATGAGAGTATCCAATGAGATGAAAGGATTAAATAAGTTAAGGGATATAAACTCTTATTTCTGAAGACATAAGCCAACAATTAACTCATTTTGTTGGTGAGAAACTTTCCCTCTGGGAAGGCTATTCCAGAATTGTGCACTTTGGGGCTTCTTGCACTTTGCCCTGAAGAAGCTGGTGATGGCCAGTGTTGGTGAGAGGCCACTGGACGACATGGACCCCACTCTTGCATTGCCCAGGGTTGTATGTGGTGAGTTTTGCAATATGGACAAATGTTTCTAAGCACGCGCAAGGAACCATGGAACTATTTTTTCTTCATGGTCTGCCCTGAGCCAGAGCTGGACCCCAGTCTCCAGAGGTGAAGAGCTGCCATATTAACACACTACGCAACCTGAAACTAACTCAGTCACACTGAGAAAGACTTGAATGTTGAGCCCCTGTCACGATGTTCCCTCATCCTAGCAGTAATGAAAAGGACTGTGCTGAGGGCCCAATCCTGAGAGGTGCGGAGCACCTGCATCTGCTAGAATTTGGAGGTGCCCAGCACTTCTCAGGAGCAGGCCCTAACATGGCTGCTCAGTAATTGTTAAGGTGGCACGCAGAACTTCCCTCTCACACCTGTTCCCCTGAAGACCCACCCTGCTGTGATGCAGCTGCCTGAACAGCCTTGCATGAGGTTGGATCTGATGAGCTGTAGGGCTTTGTGATGTTGAAGGAGCTTGACAGGCAGGACTTGTCTGGAGCCAAACATAAATCAGGCAGGCCAGGTGTCAGTTCTGACACATTACCAATGCACCTCACTGCTGATCTCCAATCACACTGTTAATCCAGTACTGGGGCCCGCCCACAGCTCTCTCAATCTATCTTAATCCTGACCTGCGGCATGCTCCCACCTCGAGCCACAGTTGGGTAATCCAATATAACAAACACAAGCCAATACTGCTAGCAGTGATACATTTTTCCATGTTGTGAAGTGAACAAATGCTTCCACCATCCTAGTCTGAGAACATCAAACTCAATGCATTGGTGATCTACACAGTGAATTCTAACCCTGGGAGGTGAAAGGGTAGTATGCTGACCCAATACATTTACTACACTCTTCTAGTTCCGATTTAGGAATGTCCTATCTTCAAAATGTAGGAATTTTCCTTTTAGGAAAGGACATGCAGTTTATTCTGTAAAGGAAGTTCAGGTTAAGTGCAGAGCCAGTGTGCAACCTAAACAAGTATCAGGGGGTAGCCATGTTAGTCTATATCCACAAAAACAACAAGGAGTCCGGTGGCACCTTAAAGACTAACAGATTTATTTGGGCATAAGCTTTTGTGGGCACAGCATCTGAAAAAGTGGATTTTTTACCCATGAAAGTTTATGCCCAACCTAAACGAGACACAGTAAGTGGCTGAAACAAGCAGAAGTTTAACCCAGGAGACATTTCTAGTATTCAGAGCATTAAATCTACATGGGCCCAACCACTGCAGCCTAACAGGTCACACACCCTGTAGATAGCTGCCTGCTCCTTTATCTGGGGACTGCTGCCTGAGAGTCAGCACAATGGCTGCACTAATCAATCCCACACTGGCCTTGTTTCTCTCTGTGCCACCCCCACATCACACGCGACATCACCGCCGAGCCCTCAAGCTTTGCACTCTCCTCTCTGAAATGTTTCACTCTCTCTCTCTTTGAAAAATCATAGGCAACTTTTCAGTGCTCATGAAGTCAGGGGCTGATAGCAGTCACTACAGACAGTTACAGTACATAGGATACGTGGGTGACCATGCAAGCTGCATGCCTCTGACAATGCACTTGAATCCTGCTCTCACAGCATCACTGCAGTTGCAGTCCTGGGCCTACACACAGCTCTGCTGGCACATCTTACTTCTGACATGCAGCAGCCCAGATAGTCCAGTGTTGACACCTACATACACAAGCGTGTGCATGCACAAACCAGCACCCCCTGCAATTCTAGTCCTGCAATCGAATACATCTGAATTCTGCTCTGCATCCCCTTGGCTAGTGCTTGTAAATGTGCGGTGTGAAAGGGGAACACTAAAGGACTTAGCGATCACGGCAGAGAACCGAAGCTCCCCAAGTGATGTGGTGGGTAAGAGGGCTAATGCAATCCTTGAATGGGGGATTATCAAGTAGGAGTAAGGAGATGATACTGTATTCAGGTCTGATCACCAACCCTTTGAAAAGGATGTTGAAAAATTTGAAAAGGTCTAGAAAAGAGCTACAAGAACAATTCATGGTCTGGGAAAACCATCCTTTCAATGAGAGACTTAAGAAGCTCATTTTATTTGGTTTATCAAAGAGAAGGTTGAGAGGTTACTTGATCATGGTCTTAGAAGTACTCACAGAGGAAGAAGACAGACAATACTACATGGCTCTTTAATGTAGCAGACAAAGGTATAACAAGATCTAATGGCTGAATATTGACGTTAGAAACATTCAGTCTAGAAACAAGGCAGATATTTTTAACACAGAGGATAATTAGCCACTGGAACAGTTTACCCAAAGGATGTGGTAGATTCTCTGTCTAAGAGATCTGCTCTACTTGCACCACAGGTTATTTAGCTAAATGGAGGAATTACTGGATGAAATTCTCTGTACAGGAGGTCAGACTAGATGGTCATACTGATCCCTTCTGACCCTAAAATCTATGGGAGGGAAGGGGTAGAACTCCTGGATTTGGTCCAGCTCAGCGGAGCAGCCCTGTGTGAGCCAGATAATATTTGCATGTGCAAATGAATTAGCAATCAGTATGCAGGTTAGCTCTTGGCTGGCAGATTCTGTGATTTTCACATGGTGCGTGCAAGTGAGATGTGCTGAGATGAAACTGGCTCTCAGCCACTGCACCGCATTGCTAATGAATTCTGCTGCTGCTTCTTTTACTAGTAAAATTTAACAACAAAATGATCACAGCCAATAAATAAAGATAAAAACACCAAGCAACACAAAGGGGAAAGAAACAGAAGACAAACCCTAACAGAATCAGTCCCTAGGATGTAGGGAAGAAACACAAAACATGATATTAAGCCAATGCTCACATTAAGACTTCTTTATACTTCTGCCCAGTACAAAGGGAGGGAAATATACAAATCCTTGTTTGTTTTGATTCCAGTGACCATACTGTTAACCCAGTCAGCTGGCATCTGTATTTGCTCAATAAGATCTAATTTTACCCTCCAGTCAATTTCAGGTTTTACTTTATCCGTGCCCATTGGTCATTCTGGGGTAAGTGTATTTTTTGGCAGCACGCTGAGATCCATATCCAGGAGTTGTATTATGTCCTTAATGTATCTCAGCCCACTGAATGCCTCATCAAAGCATTAAAGAATGTCTTTTGCTTCCTATACCGTAGCCAGGTTAAACACCTCTTCGATCATCTGCATTTGCAGGTTGCTTTTCAACCCAAGGACACATGGAATCTGTTCTTCTATTTCAAACTCTTCTGAGTGGCATGTCCTTATGCAGACATGTCACGGGGCCTTAGCCACACAGACTTATTTTGAGCACAGGATATAAAACAAGCTGAGGCTTTGATTATAACAGGTGAGCTATATTAAGGATATAGTACAACTCCTTGATATAGTTTTGACACGTGGTGGTCACTAATCTTCCTGCTGTGATTACAGGCTATGCTACTGGCTAAAGTAATTCAGGCTATAGTGCCACAGCAGACAGTCTTAGAAGAACCAATCACTACTTTTCTTTATTTAGGAGGAGAATAAAATTCCAATTGTTTTGTTGCTTCCCAGTGCTCAGATGCTCATGGGAAGGCTCTTCAGAGGCTGCCCTAAAAGCGTGGGAATGAAAAGGGCAAGGAGACTCCATCCCCTCCTGTCCGAACACATCTGTATCGGTCACCAGCGTTTCCTGAACATGCAGAGCTGACTGGGCCCCTTCCCCTTTCTCTGAACTACTCAAATATGCCCTGTAAGTGCTTTATCCTGGATTCCCAGGATTGGTTTCTAGAAGGGCCCTGCATGCTGGATTTGGAGGTTGTTTTGCACTGGAAAAGGGCCTGAGCAGCACAATTCATTTCTAGCTTTTGGAATCCTCAATAGTCGGGGTTGTTTGGGTCCAAAATGTTGGTTAAGCCCATTACAGAAACAGGGACCTAGTGTGAAACTCAGCTACAGATCCTGTTCAGGTCCAGTCTCCTTCCCCCCAAAGTGTGGGGGCACTTAGACCCAAAGGTTTGGCTCAGGTCACTCTGGTTACCAAAGTGTGTTTTGCTGTAGTAGAGCTTGTGGTTTATTTGCATGAAGGCTCCTGCAGCATGAGAGCTGGGGAAGCCAGCTCCGCCCAGAGAGCACACACACAGAAACTGCTGCAGTAGGAATTAATCTGGGTGGGGTCTGACTGGTTTGCAAAGCTCTCCCTCTGCAGGGGGAAACGACAGGAACACGCAGAACTTCTTCTTGGCTGAGCCCTCAAAAAACATGCCAGCATCACCTGGGTAAATTCCTTCCCTCACCCTGACTGGCCCCCTCTGCTGCTCCCCAGAGCTCCCTAAAATGAATCCAAGGCCCTGCTCTAGATTCAGTGACATCTGTGCTGTGGGGAGGTGGCTCATAGAATACACATGAGTCACATCATTTACACTCTGCTCTATCTCTGTGTTATAAAGGAGAGCCCTAGGTGTGCACATAAAACCACCCTCTTGGGAGTTCACAGCCTCTCTGCTATTGTCCTTCAGGGAAAAGAGATCAGAGGGAGAGGGAAGCACATAAAGGCAATGCTGTATCTGGAATGAGCGAGAGTTAAAAGCACTACAAGAGACTTCTTTCCACACTCTCTCTTTCTCCCTCAGCCAGATCTCAGGGCTGTAGGGTCACCCCAGCACAGATGTACAGTAAGGGTAGTGTGAATGGGACATGAGCTGGAGTTGCAGGGACAGCACAGCAGGCCTGGGGGAGATCTGTGAGGACCTAAGACAGGAACAACAGAGGGACAAGGTGCATTCCCAAGACAGAAATAGCCCAAAGTGCTGTAGGCCAGAACTGAATTTGCACTGGCAGCAGTTTACCATTACATGCACTGCTGCATCTCAGGATCAAGCTGTGTTAGCAGAACTATTTGGGGCCCAAGACTGTGGTTATAGGGATGCTCTGAGACCAGAATTCAGATGCATTGTGCAGCAGGCATCACGCCCATCTGTCCTCCATATTGTAATTGGTTGTAGTCAGTGCTATCAGCCCCTCACTCACAAAGCATAGAGAGAGATTGCCACATTTCAAAGAGGACAGTGAGCTTTGGAGGCTGCCAGTGATTGGTGTGTGTGTGTGTATGTAACACCTGGGCAACCCAGATCACCGCAGTATCAGCAGCATGTGTACACACAGAGGAGGAGACTGCAGCAGCTATTATGCTATCTCCTAGGCAGCAACTCACAGACAGACAAGCTGGGTGTGACCTGTTGGGCTGGATTATTTGGCCCATGTGAATTTAATGCTCTAAACTCCAAATAGTTCCTGCAGCCAAGGCCGGCTTTAGGAAGTGCGGGGCCCAATTCGAACATTTTCGGTGGGGCCCCGGCAGGGATGACTAACAAAAAAAAAAAACATGTAATAAAAAGCCTTTCATTTCTTCCATGTATTATTTACTTTCCATAACTATATAAATAATAAAATTATATATTATGTACATTGCATCATATATGCTGTTGATCAGTTATTAATGAGCTCCGTTTCACATGTGTGGGTCCCCGCCACTCCCTGGGGGTATGCTAGGGTGACCCGATTTTTGGGTCTTTTTCTTATATAGGATCCTATTACCCCCCATGCCCTGTCCCGATTTTTCACACTTGCTGTCTGGTCACCCTAGCTGGTGTGCACATGTGTGGGTCCCAGCTGCTCCCTGCCCCCCTCATTGAAGCAGGTGTGCAGGGTTACTGCCTTGGGAACTGCAGGGCACCAGTGGACATGGGGCTGGTTGGAGGCAGGGCAGGGGCTGACTGGAGGTAGGGGCTGGCTGCAGGCAGGGCAATGGGTGCGGGGCTGGCTGGAGACAGGGGGGTGTGGGGCAGGCTGGCTGGCTTCAGGCAGGGTCGCAGGGGTGTGTGGCAGGGGTTGGCAGCGCTGGAGACAGAGGAGTGCGGGACTGGCTGGCTTCAGGCAGGGGGGTGCGGCAGGGGTTGGCTGGAGTCTGGGCAGGGGGTGCGGGGCTGGCTGCAGGCAGGGCAGGGGGTGCAGGGCTGGGCAAGGGATGTGGGGCTGGCTGCAGGCAGGGCAGGGGGTGCAGGGCTGGTGCGGGCGGGGGGTGGTGGGGCTGGCTGGCTTCGGGCAGGGCCGCAGGGGGGTGTGCGGCAGGGGTTGGCTGGAGACAGGGCAGAGGGTGCGGCAAGGGTTGACTGTGGGCAGGGGGTGCGGCAGGGGCTGGCTGTGGGCAGGGGGTGCAGGGCTGGCTGCAGGCAGGACATGGGATGCAGGGCTGGAGGCAGGGCAGAGGGTGCAGCA